GGTGGTGGGTGGTAATAAGTACTGGCTGGATATCTAGGTAGGGTATGACGGGAATTTAGGATAGGGGGAGGATTGGTATTGGTTCAAGTGGATTGGTATGGGAATGCATGTCTTTTGAGGTTGTAGATAGATATGCACCTTCGCACTACGGTAGGGATTCCCGGTACTGCAGCTTGGATTGATGGACAGATATCAGCATTGTGATTTGTGAGATTATAATGATTGAATACTCATGGTGTGAAGATTATGGAGATTATAGAAGATTATGTAGAGCAAGAAGTACGAACATGAGACACAATATACCATGCTCTAAAGGCTTATGCACAAGCTGAAGCTTCTTCAGACCTGGCTGTGAGCTATCACTGGTTGTAACTTAGATGGGATGATGGATGTAGGTAGAATCATGATAGTGGAATAAATAATGATATCAAGACTGATTGGTTGTGAGATAAAAACCCAAAGAAATCATTGTAGCACAGGCATCTCAAGGACTTTTCCATCATTGAAGGTCGTGTAGGGTAAGAATAACGGTGCAGATGATCCGAAGTTGATAAATGAATTTAAGAATGATATTGGTTGAAAGTAAACGAGGGAGGTAATGCAGGTTTGAATTCTTGAAGAATTTTCCCTGCATCCATTTCATCGAGGAAGTTCTGATCACTCCATTGAATACATTCAATTGACTAGAGCAAGTGGATTTTAGAAGTAATCCTAGTATTCTTCATCATGAGACCTTGTTTAGAGCCTCACTTAAGGTTGAGCTGAAAAAGGTATGTTATGAAGAAGGTATGAATTTTGATATTTCATTGGTTGGGTATAAGTGATAACCGCCGTGAAAGTTAAAGTATGGTGATATGTGCGTAATTTATTGAGGCAGTGGAGAAAGAGGTTATGTTAATTTTGGTCTCGAGTTATGAGATGTGATTGAAAATGTTTCATATGTGATTTGTGGCTGATCGTTACCTCTCTTTGAAGATTGGCACAGCCTAGATTTGCAATTGCCGTCGACCAATAAAAGATTAGAATGCAGGTCTGTTGTGATTCTGACTGTACTGCTATGGGAAACTGTAGAAAAGTAGATGGATACTGTGACTGTATGCTTCGTCTATATATCTTAAGTACATCTTGTATATATATATATATATATACCCGTACATATATATCTTCCAAAGCATTAATTCCTGTGCCTCAAACGGTACCTTTGCGTCCGGGGGTAGCATCACTACGGTGCATTTTACAAACTTGACTCTCCACACTTGTTTCAAAGTCAATTCAGGGAAATGCCGGTTCTTCGTGTATGGAGGGGAGGTGTATTGGTGTAGTAAGAGGAGATTACTTCACTTGGTAGATAAACACCATTCATTGAATTAGCGAATTGGTTTATGTTATCAGTAGTTTGTATATCACACTGGCTACTGTATCCTCAGACTGCTTAGCACCTCTTGGTGGATATGCGGGGCCCGCTGTCATGCTTAGGGTGTGGATTAATGGCGTGCAGAAATAACTAGGTTGCATGCAACTAGACCAAAGTTTTGAGGGTCCGATAGTGCAAAGTCGCCCATCAATTTGCGATAAAAGGGCCATGGGATTCTAATACGTATCAGTGCGTCAAATGCTCTACCAATCTGATACTACCAACATTCGACTTCACTTATTGTCCCAATTGGGTTCATGCTAAGCACCTTGCTCGGCTGATATTTAGGATGCTACATTCGCATGTGTTAAGCAAGTATCGATTTCTATCTGTACTGCATGCAATGGTATGAGAATAAAATGTCAATGGGCTGCTATTGTGCCTGGAATTAAAACTTGGAGGTCTGTTCTAATGTTTCGGTGATGTTTCTACAAGCGCTCCGGGTACTGTATATAAGACTTAATTATAGTAGTAGTAAGTATTAATGATTAATAGTTAATGATGCACTGCGCATACCTTTGGCATGAATTCATCCGCGGAATCCTCTCTTTCCAATATAGCCAGCTGACAGCACATTCTGCTTTAACCAACATCTTGAGAGACTGAGACATTTATATGTACCTAGATTCATAAGAGTGATAATAATGAGGGTTATCTAAGTACCGAAGCACTGACCCTTTTTCCGGAAATGAAATCCTCTGTGTATCATCATGACTAAAAATTGGTGAAACTATTTTGTTTTAATATCCTTTTTTGGCAAATGGGAAGTGTGAGTTTTCAAATTTACCCCAAGCTTTTCGGAAGTCTGTGCATTGGGCTAAGTGACACGGCTTGCAGAAGATGCCGTGAACATGAGGCTTGGGGATTATTTAGATTTGATAAGATCTGAGGGGGTATGGAGGTAATTAGAGCTGGGGAAGGGGAGAAAGAGAGGGGGGTAATGAAGTGTTGTTTATCGGTGAGTCTTGGTGATTGTCATCTTATAATATATCAGTATCACAATGGAAGGCGACTGTAAAAAAGCCTTCGATAGATTCAACCCTTAAAGAAATTAAGAGTGGAATGGTTTTGTTGATAAGACCTGCATGTATCATGTGTCGTGATATGTGCTGCGTACCTGCCTTTCCGTAGGCCCAGAGAAAACAAGCGGGAATTGACCATGCTAATCATCAAAACTAAGACATCGCTGAATAATTAATATCATCATCTACAAATTACATGATGATATTTTAAACAGTAAAAATTTTACCATATCTCAACATTGTATTTCATGTAAAGGTCAATAGCATTGTCGAGAACATTCTATAGTGGTCAATTTCCGCCAGATTTCTCTTCTACGGCCTACAGAAAGCCTGAACAAACGAACTCCTCCTGCATTGCATATAAGTATTGAAGATATTATTTTGGGAACTAGGAATTACTTTCTGTAAGGTTAAGGAGTCGAAGACCCTCTAAAGGAAGCCAAGAGCACACTTTTGCCTCAATCATACTGTGTTGATGACTTTAATTGGCTGTTATATTAGAGTATGTTGCAGCCGTCGGGTATGGGCAGGAACCGAAGGATGAAGGGGTATTTGAGTTGGGGTCGGGTATGCACCTAGTACCGCAAGAACTTATCCCATGGTGCGTGGTGAGCATTTAGAGACAATATTTAAGAGTATTGCCAATGCTACTCCATCCATGAGATAGATGCCAACTCCAGATCAAAAACATGTTTCCTGTTATTGTTGTCCATATTCTATAAGGTCACCATTGAATAATAACAATCAAGTCCAAGGTTACTATCAATCACGGCAATTCAATCAAGTTAAATCCCATGTCACATACGATAACCGGCCCTGGTGAAAAAAAAGCTTGGGAAGCAGGCGGAGAATCCGTTAGATCAAATTTAGGGTTAGTTGATATAACTTCAGTGTATGCAATCCGGTTGGTAGACAAGAACTACTTAATGCAGACTGCTGTCGCCTTTTCCCTCCTGATTATACCTGACTGACTGGTAAATCATTCATTATCATTTTCTTCCCGAGGTTCTCACGTTCACCAATCTCAATGCTAATCACTTGCGTCTCTCTGGAAAAAAGGCAGGGATGGTAGCATAGCATCATAGACACAGGGCTAGAGTTGATCAATGAGCATTCTTGCAAGGGATTTGATTGCCAACCACGAAAAAAGATTACCTATTGAGAAGAAGAGGAAAAAAAAGAGCAACTTTTCTTTACTTCCAACCCTCGACCATTCATCTATTTCCTACCCTACCTACACTTCTATCTAATTCATACAAACTATTTCTATCTCATCTAAGCCATCAATTACCCTTTTCCTACTCATTGGCGTGGAGCTCGCTGACGTGAGGTCCCATGAAGTTGCTACGAAATGCAACATCTATGTATTAATTTCTAATACCGTATTCCAACATCTTTCTGTACATACCCATGCTCTACCTACCCATACCTGCTCACCATCGCAAACGATCTCCAAAGCATAATATATACAGAGGAAACCTCGGAACTTGGGCGTGGTGCCATACCTAAGTATTCGTACACGCAGATTCACTGTTGTGCCAAATACATTACATTATCTACCAGTCACAACTCACAAGTCACAAGTCACGACTCACGACTTACTCAATTCACAACAACTTAAATATCTAATCTTCTAATAATATTTCCCGCGCGCCCGGACGTAACTCGATACATTTTCATCCTGGTCTTGGGTTTCTCATTTGTGCACTATTCCGTGTTGGAACATCATTGCTTGAACGAATTCTTGTAAACGTGCGACATCAATCGACTCGCTCAAATCATTTCGAAACTCTGAACCTAGTAGCAGCGACAGGCGCCACCAAAAATTGCAGAGGACCGACGACCCTTCTTCCTTGCATTTACCCCCCACAACCAATTGGTGCTCAGTCTAGAGTCCAAAACATCTCGGCATATGAATACATAGCGAGCTTGAGGGAGTGTCAGCAGCCGACGAGCCTACCTGACCATGTCACAACTCTCGCAACAGGCCGAAAGACCTTTTGATACCCAGATCCATTACCTGCCACAGGAAAGCCCCACAGCTGGTCGCACCCAACTTCTTCAATCAGCAAACCACTCTTCGCCTGTCTTGGAAACGCGCAATAGGTAAGCTACCTCTTTCCAATGTTGACCAGCTTCTCGTTACGGGCACTTACATGCTTGTCCTAGGTCCCTGCACAAGGCTGCTCCTAGTCCTCTACAAACAAGTACTACTCCTACATCAACTTCAAGCAGTGTCACTCCGACAAGAACCACATTCCCTATGAAAGGTTCTGGCGATCGACACCCACTCATAAGTACGAAATCAAGTCAGAGCCCTCTGGAGGAGCCTCGATCGCCAAAAGAGCGCCTTGATGATTTACTAGCGACCGAGAAGAACTTCTATACTTCTGAACAAAGTGTCAAACCACCGCAAACACCGGGCAATACGAGGTATTTATTAATTTCATGTGTATGATCAGTTTACTCATTTCCCAACAGATACGGCAGACCATTACAAGAAGCGAATTCGAATGCCCCGATACGAAGTGTCTCTGATCCTGTCCTGGCAAACGTAGGTTCGACCTCACCTACCAGTAAACCACCCACGATGGCGTCTACCACACCTGCCCATCGTGTCGAGATGGGTCGACCACCTCCCCGCACCTCTTCAATTGACTCGGCTATTTCTTCAATATCGAGCAGTGGACATTCACACAAGAATTCGCAGGACTCTAAAGGCTCGAGTGCACAATTTGATGTCGCACAACTCATTCAAGCGGCAGGATCATCAGAGGCTGCTATACAATATTTGATCAAGGAAAAGCAATCACAAACCGCGCAGAATTCACAGTTATGGCGTTTGGTAGATAAACAGAGAGCTATGATTTTGGGCTTAAACAAGGATCTTGAGCGCGCTCTCAAAGATAAGGAACGATATAGGAAAAAGCTGAAGGAGAATCTCACACAGCATGCCGCGCCTTCACCCGTAGATTCGACACAAGGTCCAACGTCGGAATCAGGATCGATGACTTCGGAATCGAGGGTTACCGAGATCTCAGCTCAAAAGAGTATTGATGGTCATTTGAAGTCTGATGGATCAAAGGATGGTTCCCAGGCGCAACACTCGCCTATAGATTGTGCTTTAGCACCTTATCCAATCACTCCTCCAGCATTAGCAACCACTGCAATGTCTAATATGGTAGTAGCCGAGCACAAGATGCCTTCGCCGACTAAACATGCATTTCAGCAATATAATCCTGACTCTCCACCTCTCGGATTTGAGGCATCTCAACTACAGCGGAAGAACCAAACGGTGGCTGTTAATATGCCATATGATGTAACCGTTCCACCTTCAAGGAATCTTCCATCTGATTCCCCACGGGGGCCGCCTCCGATAGCACCACCGCCTCCGCCTATATCATCTCAAGGCCCTTCGTTAGCGATTGTAGAACCATCGCCAAAGTTTGATCATGGATCTTCCAAATTTCCACAGCCGAGAAAAGCCCCGCCGGCACCACTTAATCTTGGCAAAATGAGTGAACCAAGTAATCATTTACGTCAGGCACCGGAGACGAAAGAAGAGTCTGATTCAGACTATGACGATATATTGGAAGTTGGTGAGGTCCCGGCGTTTCCTGAGAGAGGTCGACGAAAGACCAGGGAAGAGGACGATCGAGTGCGGGAGATTGCAGCGGCGAAAGATGCGGAGGCAAGGAGCCTGTCAAAGAAAAGTTCGAAAGGCAGCGTTAAAGGAACACCAAAATCGACATCGACCACCCCAAAGGAACCAGTACCAGCGATGCCTCTAAGTCCCCGACCAACAGTCCCGATCTCACCACCAGATGCTCATTTGCGGACTCTTTCCCCACAAGATGAGAGTACCAGTTCCTTGGCAGGAATGTTGAGTGCATCAAGGTCGCCTCCCGCCAAGGTAGGGTTAATGTCACCTCCATTGATGAGTCCTGGTCTACCACAGAGTCCAAGGCCAATGGGTATGTCTTCGAGGACCAATTCAGCTCATCCATCCATGGCCTCGCCCCCATTGTCTCCCCGAGGAATGAACGCTTTCCCAGGTGCTATCCCATTATCGCCACGAGCTCCACGACAGCCGATCCCTCTTCCTCCTGGTACTCCAATGTCAATCGCTTCCCCTCGTGCACCCCGAGCGGAGCCTTTAGTTCTGGTGTCCCCACAGCCATTGGTGATTACTAAGAGATCCGAGGAAACTCTCAACACTCTCAAATCTGAGGAAACCCTCGTCAATGGCAGCATTTATGAGAGACGTCCAAGCGATCCTCCACACCTGGGTCACTCTGGAAATATAATTTACAAAGGCCTTGTTACTGAAGAATACCCAGACCTGCTTCTTCCGCCGAATGCTTTGCCTTCCATAGACGTGAAGGTGGCCTCGTCACGTCTGAAGCCATCAAGAGCTAGTCTCATGTGCCCGGCGAACCTTGAGACTGATCCCGTTTTCACTCTCGCAGTATTTGCAAGGTCAGATGGCAGAGAGCTATGGCGAGTGGAAAAGGACTCGGCATCTCTGGTACATTTGGACCAAATTTTGAAACAATGCCCCACGTTTACAGCCAGGACACCGGACAAATACCTTTTTAGTGGTCACTCCCCAGCTAAGATAGATGCAAGGCGTACCGCACTGGATAATTATCTTGACGAAGTTCTCAACACAGAGCTAGATACGGAATCTGCATTGGAGATATGTCGATATCTATCTTCAAATACAATGGAGCCACACGCAGATGACCTAACACCAAGTAGCGATACAGGTTCCGAAAGTCCTGTGAAGACTGGACCCGGTGGCAGGCCTCTCAAAAATGGCTACTTGACAAAGAAAGGTAAAAACTTCGGAGGATGGAAGGCGAGATTCTTTGTGTTAGACGGCCCAGTGTTCAAATATTACGAATCGCCTGGCGGACAACATCTAGGGAGTATCAAACTTCAAAGCGCTCAAATCGGAAAGCAATCCCAACAAAGTGAACCATCACCCTCTTCCAGGGCCGACTCTGATGACGTTGACAATCAGTATCGCCATGCTTTTCTAATATTGGAGCCGAAAAGGAAGGATTCTTCTAGCCTTGTGCGACATGTTTTGTGTGCTGAAAGCGACAAGGAACGCGATGAATGGGTTGAGGCTCTTCTGCGTTACGTTGATTACAAGGATGAAGATGAGCATAATCGTTCAAGCCATACTCGCTCTGGCTCAAGCGGCTCTCATCCACACGGAAGGAGAAAGAATAGTGCTCAGGGGAAGCTGGGCGAAGGCAACGATTCACGTGCTGGTTATGATACGACAAAACAAGGTAGTGTACCCCACGGATCGAAATCGAAAAGCTCAGGTACACCTTCACCTCCATCTCACGCTCACGAAAGAGACCCCATGTCACTACCACAGTCTCAATCGATGAAATCGATTTCTGGTCCAAAGAATGCCCACTTGATTCAGGATGCTGGTTCATGGGGAAACAAATCAGGACTATCGCCCCCAGATGACAAAATCAAACAGAAGAAGCGCAGCTTTTTTGGATTCGGCTCAAAACCTAGACCATCTGTAGATTTACCAGACGTATCACTCAACATTTCAAATCATAATTTGTCACAGATGGCATTCGAGCAGCACGGTCCAATTAGACCTGTTTTTGGAACTCCATTAACAGAAGCTGTGAGGTATAATCACCCGGCTGATGTTCAAGTTGAGCTTCCAGCGGTCATATATCGATGCATTGAGTACCTAGATGCGAAGAATGCTGCAGGGGAAGAAGGAATCTTTAGATTGAGTGGATCTAATATTGTCATCAGACAGCTTCGAGAACGCTTTAATGTCGAGGGCGATGTCAACTTGGTGACTGACGATCAGTACTATGACATACACGCCGTGGCTTCTCTGTTGAAGTTGTATTTGAGGGAGTTGCCAACCACTATTCTGACCCGCGAACTTCACCTTGAGTTTCTCGCCGTCACAGAGCTTCACGATATGAACGAAAAAGTCAGTGCTCTTAACGGTTTGGTCCACAGGTTGCCACGAGCAAACAACATTCTGCTCAGATATCTTGCAGGTTTCCTGATTAACATCATTAACCATTCGGATGTGAATAAAATGACTGTTCGAAATGTCGGCATTGTGTTTTCGCCAACCCTCAACATACCAGCTCCTGTGTTTGCGCTTTTCTTGCAAAAATATGATGCCATTTTTGAACAGGAGCCTAACGACCATGAACATCGTCCCGTAGAGGTGACAGTCACCGCGCCTTCCCTATCTCCTGAAGATATTCGCTCTCCCCGACGCCAAAAGTTCCAACAGGATCTCCCAACACCCTCTTTTAACCAGCAATCTTTTGGTCAACAAGGTCCAGGATTTGCCGGGTTCAGCACAATGGCCGGACCTGAGTATGGTAGTCGAGCCAATACACTAGGAGTCCCTTTTCAAGACCAACAATACTCGGCCTCTAAATCGAAGAAAAGAGAAAGTAGCATGTTTAATATGGGAATGGGATTAGGACAGAAGAAGTCCACCAATAGATTGAAGGAAAATGGCCTTCGTAAGAAATAAAGCCAATCTCCGCTGATAAATTGTACTGACGAGAAATTGTAGGTCTAGCCGATGAAGAATCATTCTTCGATTAGGCGAATATTGTCGATTGATCAACGAAATGTACACGACTTCGGACAGGTGCCCTAGACGTACTTATGATCACCAAGGCCAATATACAAGCACAATACTACTGTAATCATAATAATGCTCTCGTCTACTTTTCCTTTTTTTCAAGTACAGCATTAGCAAGCAGACTTTCAATACCCTTCGACCTTTTGTATATTACCTTACATTCACACGAACGATATTAAGAGTACGAACAATATCATCTTCTATATACCATTTTCAATTCGCGGCATTATAGGCAATGAATCAACTCGTTTAGAGGAAGGAGAGGAGGTTATACCCAAACTTTTTTTCTATATTACATTTCGCATTGGATGCATTCTTGATCCGGTTTACAATGCCACATTTTTTTTACCTTTGCATGTTTCTCAAGCATTTTCAAGATATTTTATGGATCAAATCGACTTTAGCGCGCGTGGATTTGGGTCTTACAAGAAGTGGGCCCTGGGAGTTGAAGGGGTAATTCATATGATATAAGGGTATGAGGGAAGGAATGAGGGAGGGGAGGGGAAAGAAATGAAATGAAAAGAAAAGAACTTATGGGTTTGGATTGAATGGATGGATATGTATTATTGGTGGATGGGAGGATGGGAGAATGGGCGGGATAAATGAAAGGTTAGGGGTAGGATTTGGGATGGGTGGGATGTGAGAGGAGTAAATGGTTGAATGAAAGATGTCCTGGTGACTTTTACGATGGGGGTATTAATGGCTGGGTTCGTAAAGTACTAGGTATATCGCAAGATGGTATATGCAGCATTAAAGGGGGATAACGTAGATAATGATACCATATTTTATTTCGATGTTGGGTCTTTTTTGTGATGTGTACTGTATTTTGATTTGTGGTGGGGTTTTTTTATATTGGGGAAGTTGATGGTGGAGTGTTAAGAGGAGAGGAGAAAAGATGAAGTTGATGAAGCTGATGAAGTTGAGGTTGATCCAACTATGGGCTTGTTTTCTAGCAGAGTAACGGAGTTTATTCACTTCTTTCACGTGTCCTTTTGTGAGTAGCACGGGCTGTGCATTTTGATGTAATTCGCATGTATATATAGCTAGGATAGAATTTGTAGAAGAATTTGGGGGCTGATAGTAGTACTTGAAAGGACGCGTGGTGTATTCGTGTATACTCTCTCGTATAGGCTTGATGATGTAATCTTACACACAGAAAGCGTATATTACAAAGTTAAAAGAGAGACTGATGTTCATCATTTGACAGTATGGAGAATGGATATGGGAGTAGGAAATTCTTGGTTGGTTTGGCTAGTTAGGCTGGATTCGAATTCGGATGCAGAGAGCAATATGTTGCAAGTGAAGGGAGGAGAGTTGATGGTTTGGTTATTATTTAAAATTACCAGAGAGAAAGGAAATAGAGTATCTATATACATTTGGGATGTGATGGAGGGATGGGTTATTTTAATACTTGGGTTGGAGGGAATGAGTTTGTGACTGGAGAGATTGAATTGAAGTAGTATAGAATAAGATTAAAATTCGAAGGATCATGCATTTGATGCCAGGGGATTCACTGAGCTGATTGAGTATTGTTATTGAGACATGAATGGATGAGATGAACATGGAAAGATTCATCAGGTACATAGAAATGTTGATAAAACTTTTTTAATTTTCTTCTATATCAATCATTAAACCGCTATATAATAAATATGAATAGTATATCACTCAATAACTCCTATCCTTTTAATGCAATGCAATGCAACGCTCTGCCTCTTCCCATCTATCAACTTCTGCAAAAACCGACGAAAGCTCAAAAACCCCTCAGTAAAAATATTCTTCACTCCATTCACCCTTTCATACTTCGGGTATATCATTACAAGCAATACATTCTCCATCGTAATCTATGTTTCGAAGATGAGGAAACCCGCCCAAAATCGGGCCATAGTCAATACAGCAGCCGGAAGTTCATACATCTTTCTCATTCGTACCTGTACACACGCACGGAAACGGAAACGGAAAAGAACGCTAAAATTCGACCAGAGACAAGATTATATTGTGACTTTACATGACGAGATAACCGAGTCCAAGACCCAAAGCCATGACGCCAAGGTCAAGCATGCCGTATTCGTGTTTGGGCTTCTTGATGGAGTTGGAGTCGGAGGTGCTGACTTGAGTCAAGGTGGATGAACCGCTAGTAGAGCCTGAGGCTGAGGCTGATGCTGATGCTGTGCCGGTGGCTTTGACACCTGCGGAAGCTGTGGCTGTTTGGATTCCAGTTGCGGTTCCAGATGCGGTTCCACTTGCAGTCTTAGTTGAGCTTCCGCTGCTGGATTTGCCAGATGCGCTTGAGGAAGCGGAGGATGATGAGCTGCTGGAAGAGGATAAGGTGGATTTACCATCTTTGCTGCAGCCACCAGTGGCCTTGATGGATTGGTAGGAACCGCTCAAATCGCCATAGGTATATTCGGTGGCGCATCCATAATCTTCAATGGTGACGTTCTTGACATACATGGTGTATGGGCCCTTGGTGAGATCGGCGGCTCCTCCAGCCCACGAACAGGTACCTGCTGTTGCGGGGTTGGTTACAGCTGCTTGATCTAAACATCCGATCCAGCTTCCCATCTTGACCAACATAGGAGTTTGAGGGTAGTTCTTTCCGCCAATGGTTAATGGGTCATCGTAGGCAAGGGTTCGGACGGCTACTCCATCGATGTACCAGACGGTTGCTGCGGCGGTCCAATCAATGGTGTAGTTGTGGAAGACGTCCATGGGTGTAGCGACTGGTGGGTATTGGGCACGGTTGTAGGTGGTGGTGTTTCCCTTTCCGAAGAAGTTGTTTTCGGCGGAGGTGTTGTCGTAACCGAGCCATTCCCAATCGATTTCATCGAGATCATCGGACTCGAGAATGAAACTACTGACAATACCAGTTCCAGGTGATGCACGAATCCAGGTTTCGATTCTACCAAACATTAGGTACCCAATGTTCTTGATGGTGGGTGCATCAGTGCCCTTGCTAATGACGAACTTGGCACCAAGTTGAGGATCGTATGACATTGTTGTACCAGCTTCATCTTCCCAGTTGCTACTCTTTCCAGCTGTGAAATCGGTCACTTGAATTCCTCCGATGGCTGGGTCTGCAGGACAGGCTGGCTGATGGTTAGATTTATTTTTATCAATAGTGCTTCATCCAACTTACTTTTTTTTGTTGGATCACAATCAGTAAATGTTTGTGCGCTAGCAAGTCCTGAGAGGAGGAGAACAGCAGATGCTGATAGTGTTGATGAACGCATCTTGCAATATGTGATATAGATGATGTGAGTAGATACGTTGATAAGAGTTCGAACTACAGGTACAAGACTTCAAGTACGAGATAACGTAAGGCGCAAAGTGAATGTAGCGAATGTGAGCGAATGTGAGTTGAGTTATAAAAGATAGAACGTTCAAACGAAAGATGAACAGTTTCAATGTAAAGAACCACTTTTCAGAAAGGTAGATGATGAAATAGAAAATTAATGCCAAGACGTGGAGAGTTTCCAGAAATTGGATGAGGGGGATGAGAGATAAATAAGTAGAACAAAAGTTATGTGGAGACGATTACTTACGGCGGAAGGAAGAGCAATTAAATTTGGGGATTCGAGTATTTCAATAATTTCCATGGCATTTCACTCCTCCACCTGCACAACTGTGGGCTGGTCAAGGTCAATGGTGTCAAACTCGAATTCCGAACACAGCCTTGTCTCTGTCAGCATCGAGGGGCGGGGCGTGGTCAAACAAACCTTGTATCAGAAGCTACTTTTGTGATTTTATTGGTTAAGCGAGGTTTTCAGCATTGTCATGAAGGAGGCAGGGAGGCGTGAGAGGCTAATGCCATGCCATTCCACGTTGTCGTATACGTCCTCCAGGAAGGGATGAAAACCCATTTTAAAAATGCATGGTACTGCGATGCTAGACTGAATCAATAAGAGTGCAATAATTAACTGCGGGTTCTGATGATTCTTGTTGATTATGATGCAGGTACGGAATACCGAAACCATCAAATAAAACGCTTGGAATTCCTGATCTATCGTATCAAAGATGGGGCTACGGAAAGGCACATACGTTGTTCCCCTCGTGTTTTGGTGGAACCGATAGTTTTATTGCTCAGAAAAGTGGCCTTTTTGTTAAATTTACGATGCTGTTTCCATACGGTATCCATATAATATTTAAATTGTTTCTTGTGTTACCGAAGTTAAAGTGACAGTCAGTCAGTCAGTTACTCCTGTGCATAATTCTATCCCATTATTTCCAAAGCATAGAGATTGAATATATAGCTTGATCCTGTGGGAAGATTAGATGACTAAAGTTTCTCCTAGGCTCGTGTTTGACTTGGCTTGTTGGATTCTTGTCGAAGCCAGCCATTCACCGTTCGTTAACCTTTTTGACGGCCGTGTAATGAAACAGAAGGTCGGAATTTAGTTTCCAGCAAAATGCCACGACTGGTTCGGCTGCAGATTTGATTTGGACCCTAGGTACTGTACTCCGTAATTCATAGATTGACATCTAAAGTAGTCAAAAAGCATCTATGAAAGGATTTCAGGAACGAAATTGATTTGATTGGTGCGGCGTGTCCATCTCTATTTGTATTTAAAGCCTTTAACAGCGGCTGAGCACATCATAAGGTACTGAAAAAGGAGCTAGAAGGGAAAAAAGAAAAGTATTTTGGGGAATTCCAAGAGCTTAGTTTGCTGTGCCCTTCTTTTTCCGAGGTAAACCGAAAATTGGTTCAATGTCTCGGGTCACTGCCATCCTCGCCGAAAGAATGGATACCTTTGCGATACGAATAATGATCAGCATGAAAAAAGCAACGTTTTTCAATGTAAACTTAAAACTTCGTACAATATATCTCTACCTCAATTCCATATATTTCAAATACGCAAGAGAGCGAGAGGTGTTACCCTTTTTTTCTATTTTGTTAATGCCTCTTTCCTTGAAAGGCCTTAACATTGTCGCTGGAGGTGTTCATATAAACTGTACTAACCCTTAAAATTCTTGGTTCTCTAGATTTCCTCCTCCCATTCCTGCTCATCGCTATTGATCTACAGCCATCATCATCCAAAACGAGAGCAATACTGAGTTGTTGATGGCAGTACCACTCATAATCCGGTTGTCCTTTACGATTTGGTTCTGCCATGCCAACCGTCATTTTCCTTTTCTTTCCATCGTCAGATTCGTTAGATTCCCAGCGGAGAGTCAACATTGAGAAAAAAAAGTAATCCTTTTACCGCTCTCGTATCATTCTTTCTACCTCATTTTCATTTTGCGGGGATAATCATACAATTGGTCCTCGGCATGTCTCGGGCGCTTCGAATTTCCTGCACAATACGACATCACTCGGTGAAAAGTGATAAGGGTGGACCACTATTCCGAACAGGCAGCCTTCAAGAGGATTTCAACAGTGCGCGAAAAGGTTTCATTCCGGTAACAAAATTTGGCCTGAGCTCTTGAAAAGACCGTGAACACCTCCTTGCTTCCTTGTTCACTGATCTCGAGCACTGGAGTTTCTATCTTGAAAATAAGCTTAACGTCCATCCGCTGATCAAAAGTCTCATTCTTCTTAGCAACGGGATTCTATCAGTTAATTAGAATACGAGTAATAAGAGGAAGTTCATATCAGGGGGCGCAAAACGCCACTCACGAATGGTTCTTTCATTTCCGGGCATTCGTTCATAATGAAGGGGCGGCTCGAAAGAAGCGAGCATACCATAATGAGGCTTATGGCTCATAAGGCTATTAGTGCTTGTCTTGGCATTTAAATTACTATCCGCAATTTTTGACAACACATCTACTTACAGCTCCTGATTACAGCAACACTCTTTAATAAAAGACATGAAAGAAGCGCCAAAAATAATGGATATTTGGAAGCACCCCTGTAGTCAAATTTCCGATTATCCCCGATTTGGTAGTATTATGATCCAAATCCGATCACATGAACTCCTCCACCGATTCTTGACTGGGCATAAAACTCATAAATATTTCATAGATATTTCCTGGGTATGAAAAGATGACTGGAAATTTGAATATGTCAATTCACATGCTAGTCATTTGATTAGTCGAATAAGGAAAGACATGGGTTACAGGACCAGAGCCGCAAAGATGTTCTTATAAAGGGGATTAATTAAGGTAATAACTCTTTCCTATATCAAAATCAAAAGGGGATTGAAGAAATTATCTTTCAAAGGGGGTATACTTACAAATGGAATCTTATAAAGATGTTTTGCTACGCAAGTGTTGAGTTGCAATCATCCTCCGATTATAGACTTCCAAGGTTTGGAAGGAGCCGTGAAGCCATGGTCCGGTAAGCTTCGCATCATGACCAGCAAATTTCCTTGCTTGTGAAGTTGTATTATAAACTGTTCACTTCATCGCGTTACAAATAGGCACGATTATGTGATCATTTGATGAGGAGTAGAACTGGTTCGTCATTCATTCTGCCATATACACTAGTTGCGATTTCTCTGCCGAGGTCTCCCAAGCCTCACATCGGTGGCAGAAGCATTAAAAGAGAGTTGTTGGTACTTTGTTAGTCGGGTATGGCCGAAGTGCTGATAACTTTTAACTCTCCTGCAAGAACTGGAAATTTATGAGCTTAGTGGCCGGTGATGACAAGACTATATCGAAAACAATTTCTGGACGCAGAATCGAACTACTGTTATCTTACATCATTACAACACATCCCAAAGACACGGGCGAGAGAATATCAATATTAGTGATGATTGTTTTTCAGTAGTTCGATGATTTGGTGGTTGCCGTCTTATAAAATTTTGGGGTGGGAGGCGGGATGGTAGGATGAACTGCTCATGGTGTTAGAAACTCATATTTTCATCTTCTCATAGCAGACTGGTTGCTGATTATAACTTTTTCACAATTTGGGGGCATTGAAGTTCAAGGCCACTTCATCCCTTTGGCAATTAGACAATTGAGTCGTATATCATTCAGCATGCGGTGCGGTTGCCATAGACAAAGCTCTAAATGATCTTTCAAAGTTCTCATTAGGTCATGTTGCTAAAGTATGGAAAAGAATATATGTGGTACAAGAGTAGTACTGCATTGTGTCTAAGGCTATGACTTGCTCTGGGCAATGACTTAACTCTGACGATCAAGTCCATTAACTTACAGGAATGTGGGGAAAGCAATAACAGTGAATCCATTGCCAACACATCCAGATTCCAATTAATCATACTAAAAGGTTTGAATTTGGTCAAGAGGTTATCAAGGGAACGGCTGCATATACTTGCTTTGGCCCTATTCCATAGTTCTTCTCGAACTTCTAGCGCTCGGAGGAATGAGGAATCTCATGTAGCATTTCATTCAAGCCAGGACACTAGCAGTTATAGCCAACAATGCGAGCGAGAGGGCTTTGGAGATGTCACCAAAACTCCCTTGAATACACCATCAACGGGTTGAAAAAAAAAGGCCGAGGCCTTACCATTGAGCGGGATTAAAGCCAAATCCTTTGTTTCCTCCCATATCACCGAATTTTATCGGTACATACTTCCCAGCTTTCCTTTCTTTCCCCACTCTCACTCTCTGATCAACCAAACTAGCCATGTCTAACTCAATGGGCGCCTTGGAAATCATATACTCCAATCCACCAAGGAGCATGCTCACAATTTGCAGGTTACAGTTTTCAAGCCCGGGACTATTGGTAGGCCCAAAACAGCGAAGAGGTAATCAATGCATGGTAAAAGCCTGGTATAGTGTGTTCTGTGCTTACGGTTCATGTTTCGGGACATGCTTCTTCTCCTACTAGACTGTGTTTGGATGAGAATATTAAGAATACGTTGTAGCAGGAGAATCTCTTGCAATTGGGAAGGACTTCACTTGCTGAGGAGGAGTATTCGAGATGAGAGACTAGCTCTGATATTCTGGCTGACTCACAGTGTTGACGAATCTAACTACTGTCTTTGTTCAATTTCATCTCAACGTTCAGCTCTTGTTGTCCAACTCTATTCCGTAGCACTTGTATCCCGATCTAACGGCTTGCTGTAACCTTGAGCAACCAGCTCTGATTGTCTACTTCCAATACTGAATATTCATTGACTTGTCCATTAACACCGTCCTAATATCTTTAACTGCATAGTATAATCTCCAATATCTACTACATTTTACATATCAGGCAAATCTTAAAGCCGTTCCCATGATGATCAGAGACTATACGAGGTATTACGATACTACCACAACAAACCTATCCACAAACTTAACACATTCCACTTCACACATCGACCACGAGTAACAATACACGATAAATACACTCCCACAAACCCACCATCATCCTCCTCCCATCAAAACCCAGTAATTTCACCCAAACAACCACTTCATGTCTCATCCGTCCACCAACCAACTCCTTAGTCTCCACACAATACGAAACGGACAAGCCCTAATAACTAATCACTACACAATACGAGATATAAGCTTTCGGCAGTCCAACGCCCTTGAGACCGTGCTGCTATTATAAATTACCATATCTCTCTATGTACTCTGTAGGGAGAATCGCTGATGCAAGATCATCTCACATTGTACGATCCTCAGTACCGGGAAATGAGAGATCTACAAAGGATATAAATCTCAACTTAGTATCTGGTATATATGTACCCTGTAACTAGTGAGAGATGCTCCTTATATTCCCTTCCAAAGGCAAATTTTTAATTTAGATATCAGGAGTTTCAAGTGCATGTTTGTCCATGCATGTCATGAACACAGACAGGCTAATTAGACTAGCGCTTGCGAAAGCGAATGATCAAAGCTATTTATATAGTTAGATCCTATCTTTTGTTTAGCTATTTTTACACTCAAGTCTTCACTTTAAGATCGATCGACTACTTAGGAATGTCCTAAGAACAAACGACTGCGTAAAGTCTACTCTCGATACTGTGTACTTCCGAGGAGTTTTGTAGGATGGGATATCTACAAATTTTTATGATACTTTAATTATATCGGTCGTTTTAAGGAAAGGATTAACATTGTATGCAGAGGAAATTGTGTTTTCCTGGAGAAGCAAACGCAGAGTAGAGGGAGAGGTGATTAGCAGTAAAGAGAATTCAATGAACGCGAGTATTTATGGAAATGAATATAGAAGGATGAGATGGAAATTAATTTTACAAGCTTTTAGAGACAAATGAAATGTTTACAGCAAGATTCAGTGGAAAATTGAGTTTTGATGATGTGAATATCTATCATGGGATAAATTTTAAGCTATGCCATGTCATGATATGCTGGTCCCACCTCTTCCCAACTAGGCTTTTCACAAACTACACAGCCATAGCCATTGTGCAGTGAATATAAAAAATGTTTCTAATAGCAGCATTAATCTGTGAGTCATGAAAGATACGTCGTAAAACTAGCTATGCATAGTTGGGAAATCTCAAAATCCTAACTTCTATGCTAAAGAGCAAATCAAACCCGAACCCTCAGAACTCCGGCCCATCCCCATGCAGCTGATTCCGTGATTGGAAGAAAAGTAAAATCACCAAAAAGATGAGAGCCGGTCGCTACTAGCGGCTTGCAATCTCCTCATCTCACGTCGGCATAGGATTTATACTACTACCACCACCTCCACCACTTCTGCCAAACTGTGACATTAAACTTGATCCCTTGGATGCTGTGCTTTTCCTGCTACTCGTAGGTGCTCGCTTCTTCGTAACACCACTGCTTGATCCTGCCTTGCTTGACGTCGATCCACCACTCTTTCGCCTGTAGTTGTTAAACCGAGATTTCGATTTATAACCATGAAAACTTTTTTGATTTGATCTTTTAGACGAATCAGCTTCTATAGGTTGGGTCCTCGGAATCTGTGCTGCCATCTCCATTCGCTCATTGAACGCTTGCACAGCGGGATTGACTTCGTGAAAGTACCGAGAAGACTCTTCCGACTGCTCTCCGGACTCATCTTCCGTATCACTTTCGCTCACCAAGTCGACTATCAAGTGGTTTTTATCCGGCTTAAAGTTTGGGTCCATCATCTGCCTATAGGAGAAATGGCTTTCGTCCAGTAACTTCAAAAATCGCATGCCGTGGGCATGTATGTTTTCTTTGCTGATTCCAGGAATTTGTGACATTAAAGTCGTGCTTATAGTCCAGCGGATTGCCATTTGTCTGAACTCAAGCTCCGTGAAATAAGGTTTCCTGTGACCATTCTTATTTCGGATTGACTCTTCTAGTGTCTTGGCTTGCTGAACGAAATCATCAACAACATCTCGATGCACTGGATTCAGCCTCTTCATCTCTTCATCAACTGTGATCGGTGGCCCAATACGATTAGCTTGTCTGCTACCGCGCATGCCCCTACTAGCCCCTCTCATTGGCTCGAAAGAATCATCCTCGGAACTTTCAACACTGTCGGAAGCAAGGGGGTCATGCTGAGGATAGGTGCTTGGATGAAAATCATCGTCAGTCATGGCGATATCGTCTTCGATGTATCGTTCTTTGCCCTTTCTACTAGGTCGAGGTTCGGCGATTGGCGAAGTAAGCAACGTGGACGGCGGCGGTGCTTGCCTTTTGGGTTTGCTTTTTGAGGTCTTGCGTGAAGCTGCATTTGGGGATGTCGAGATCCTAGTTTGCAGGGGAAGTTTTAGGTTTTTAGACATATACTGCCTATATTTAGGCCCTAGCTTGGGAAGTGGTTAGCGCTTTACACGTTGCTTAAGAGGGGTTTCTTTTACAAAAACAAAATCATTATGGTATCCAGCCCTATTCTTAATGGCGCGAAATTGCAGGCCTCCAAACTGGATGAGTTTCTCAATGAGTCGTTCAATCTCCGCTTTTCCCATATGTTTTAGTGAGCCAAATTCATCAAATTGATGATGATTCTCAGATTTGACCTTTGCTATTGCCTTGCCTTCCAGGATGGCGGAAAAGTGACCTATAGCAAAATTTCCGTGCACTTGACTAACAACACTGATAACCTTCCGAGCCTCAGTACTAAAATCGCGTTCCTCGTAAGTGTCATTAGAATTGCATGTGTCACAATTACGACACTCCTCTTTTCTGAAAGTCTCACCAAAGTATCGTAGGAGTTGCACTCGGCGGCAATCAACGCGATTGTCACAAAATCGTACCATGGCTTCCAACATTTGACGCTGCTCGTTTTTGACATCTGGGCTGCCATCTCCCTTATCAATCATCTTTTTGTAAATCTGAGTATCTTGAAATCCATAGTAGAGGAAACAGGACGCCGGTTTGCCGTCCCGACCAGCTCGCCCTGTTTCCTGGTAATAACCTTCCAAAGTCTTGGGAAGGCAATAATGGATGACAAATCGCACGTTTTGTTTGTCAATGCCCATACCAAACGCAATCGTTGCCACAACAACTTGAATGTCGCCTACCTGCCATTGGTGTTGGATATCTTTCTTGTCTTCGGCTGCCATATGCGCATGGAAATGATGGGCCTTGATCCCCTGGCCTCGCAGCCTTTTAGCCACATCTTCGCAATTGTCACGAGAGAGACAGTATATGATCCCGCTTTGGTTCTTGTAGTCGACAGAAAGCATGGTTGTTATCTCACTGAACATTGCCGCCGTTGATCCTTTGCCCATCTTACGTCGGACCTCGTAGTAAATGTTAGGCCGATTGAAACTCTGTTTTAGCTGGTCACAGTTGTGCATTCCAAGATTGTGGATAACATCTTTTTTTACCCTTTCTGTTGCGGTGGCAGTTAAGGCAATGAATGGCACCCCAGGATATCTCTCACGAAGCTCATGAAGGCTTTTGTAGTCTGGCCGAAAGTCATGACCCCATTGGCTGACACAATGAGCCTCATCGATGACAATGCGGGCAAGTCGCTCTTTGGCATACAGATCATCTAATTTCGATTGAATAATACTACTTTTGTTGATCATCTCTGGCGTGACGTATAGTAGCTCGACGAATTGCTCTGGCTTACTTTGGCTTAGACCGGTGAATAGCTCCTGCTTCGTCTCCTTAGTTGATTCGCTATTAAACAAATATGCCTGAATGCGAAGTCTCCTGAGATGGTCGACCTGATCATGCATGAGAGCTAAAAGAGGAGAAACCACAATTGTAACACCCTTCGTTGCGCCCGATTGTACAATCGCAGGCAACTGATAACACAAAGATTTTCCGCCACCAGTGGGCATCAGTATGAATGCATCACGGCCCGCTAAGGTAGCATTAATTGCCTCCAGCTGGTTCTGTCGAAAGCCCGTCAAACGAAAGCGATCTTTCAACCCCTTCTTGACATCTTTCGACCATGCATAGCGGTACCTATCCGCATGTGAAGAGTCCACTATTGAATACATATCTTTGGGTTTGTCGGAGTTTGAATTATCACGTTTTGAACTTTTGAATGAGTTCCTTGACGCATCCTGCAAAGTGGAATTAAGCGAACATTTCGCCGAGTTCCCCTTGAAAGAGCTATTCTGCTCAACTTGTTGCGCGAAAGAGATCAGAGCATCATCATCATCAGAGTCCCCATAATCTTCCTCCTCATGTCCTTCTGATTTGTTGTCAGCTACACGAGTCTCTTCCATAATCTGCTCCTCGTCTTCAAGCAAACGAGAGAGCAAATCATCATCAGCACCGTAATCTGTTGGTGAAGGTTGCCTGGAAAAATCCGGTTGTTTCACGGAAATACCAGGCCTCGAGTAGTTACTTCCGGGAACCATCGACCTAAAAGGCGATGTCTGTCTTACAGGAGATGGCTTTGCATAACGAAGTTCCCCGTCCCTTGAGTCAAGGGGTCTTTGAGAATTAGATGTTGGATAGTCCTGCCTGAAGTCCCTCGACGCGCTTGATGATTCACGCGTAAGAGGAGGAACCTGGGTCTGCAGAATAACTTGCCCACTCGTATTTGCACCCGACGCGGAAGTGCAAAGCGGAGTTTTCGTAGACGGAATAGACCCGAATCCGTAGTTTATTGCGCCAGAGGCATCTAATAACCGCCAACACTCTTTCTTTCTCTCCGATAGCTCCCGGGTAAGCACATGAGAGTGCGCTTCTTCGGCACTATCCGTAATACCCTCTTCTAGAAGGGTCATCACCCTACGCAATGCAGCAGTTGTTTTTGAAGCGAGATCCTGAAGACTTTGAGAGTTATCTCTAAGAGTCTTTAGGGATTTTTTCTGTTCCAATATAGCTTTTCGCTCGGACACCATCTCTTCTGGAGGGTGCTCGCCGTCCTCAAGATAGACTTGGAGCGCTTCGTAATTCTGGCTGAGAAGATTGTCCAGGTGATTTTGGAAAGGCACGAGTGCTGACGGATTTTTCAGGTATAAACCCACAACTCTTTTTTCTTCGAGACCCAGAGAAACCGATGAAGCCTGGCTTGAGCCTTGCTGTGGCAATTTCTGTGAAGCCATATACTTGGCGGGAGAATCGCGTTGAAATGGAGATGGCTCATTCTCCTGACGAAATGATGCATTTTGTGATATTGGTTTCAGAGGGCTAGTGAATCTCTTCTTTGCGGGCGTCACTTCTTCGTTCTCGTGCATCAAATTCGCAGAGACTGTATGCATGTTCGGCGTGCTATGAATTCCTTTCGGTGTTTTCATCAATGGTGGGCAAGGCGAGCAGCTTACTCTTGCTTCTATCTCTGAAAAAACGTCTTCATCCTCTGAGTCAAATACTTCTTGCTTAAGCCTTCGACGTTTAAGTGGTGACGATGTTTTTGTCGCCCAATGTTCACGGGATTTTGTACTAGGAGATGCTCGTACTTGAATTGGTGACATATGTCGCACGCTACGAGGAGTAATGTGTTTCTCAGAGCTAATCGTAGGGGCAGGCGTCGTTCTTGGGATCGATCTTTTATCTATAATAATATCTTCTGAGTTTTGTCTGCTTCCGACCTTGGATTTCGCACGTCCAGCCTGAGACATCATTTCTTGAACCATGTCAAATTCCTCTAAGTGATTCGGATCAGGGTATTCCTCCACTTTTCTAGGTGGAACAATTGTTCGCTGAGAGTCCGGCAGGGTCTCCCGAAACGATGGCCCTGGTAATCCCAACTCGTCAATGTCCAAAAACGAATCATATTCCTCGTCTTGCACTTCTGGTGAGCGTACTGGTGGTATCTTTTTGGATTTCCTAGGAGACTGCGTCATAGATAAATCCTCGCTTTTCCTTTTCTTCGCCTTCTTCAAAGGTTCTGGTCGGGAAGCTGACCCCTCGTCCCACGATACAACAGAAGCATCTTCAAAGGCTTCCACAGTACTTGAGGACCGAATGGGGGCAACTCCAGCCAGATCATCGCCGGTGAGATCTATAGATTCCACATTGTCGAAATTGAATCTTGTTTTCGGTAAGGGTGTCGGGCGGGGTGTCAAACCTCTTGGTTCTCTCGTTGATATGAGTCTGGAAGGGGTGCCTAGAAGAGTCAATTGAGGGACGAACCGAGTCACATCACATCCACATACCACTTATGTGTTGTTTATAACTTGTCGTAAGGGATGAGCTGGTCGTCGAGGAAGGGGTTGAAAATTGTTTGTTTTGACTTATGAGACTTGGTCTAGTCGTCTTTCGTGCTGATGTGAGTTTTCCCATATCCGGATCCGCCAATTCATCCCCAGGATCTGGTGTAGATTGTGTTACCGGAGTGAGGATGCGAGGACGAGGTGATCGTGAATTCGCCACAACATTGGAGATTTCTTCGACTCGACGGTTTCGAATCGGAGCAGTCGGTGTATTTCTTGTTTCATGCACAGTACTTTCGTCCTCCGAATTACCAAAACTTCCAAATCCGAACCCAATCGTGTCTGGCAAGGTTGCAAATGCACTGATTTGGGCTCCAGTGGGGGCAGTAACTTTGTTCTGTATCAACCAAGAAATATGACTTTGAAGATTATGTCGAGTCATGGAGAGTGAATAAGGTACCGATATTTTGGTGAATCCATTTGTATCCGAAGTCGATTTTTACAAAAATTTGAGTGAGTGTTCAAAGATCATTAGGCGTGGTGGTAACCTTAGTAAATGAATGACAATTCCACATCATTGATTGTTTTGCGACATCGCGGCGACAAACGCGATTTGACGCGTTAGTTAGCGCCATCATGTGACACCCCGCAAAAGCTTAAACTTTCCACTTCCCAAGGTTTGGTTATAATTATTGGCCAGAACTATACTCGTAATAGCAACCTATCAACGGCTCTGATTTCGTTTGTACCGGCTTCAAAAAGCTTTCTTGGCGATCAGGATACCGACTGACAGCTACTTGACTTGCATTAGAGTCACCTAGGTATCCTACATACCGCAGCCTTTTGTTGAGAAAGATTAAACAACGGTGATATTTATCGAACTCGACATTTTCCAGTACCGTTCATTCCTGGTTCAAAGGCCGAAAGAAAAGTTTCAAGTGTACATGAGAAAAGCTTCATCCATGAACATAATATTCTACTAAATCTGCTTTTCATGTTTCGAGGGTTCTCTCTCAATACTATACGGTCATTACAGTTATGTCTCCAAAATCACTTGAGTATCTCTACAATTTGAATCATTATCGTCGTTTGTACATGTAAACCTCTGTTCAGCAGCCAGTAATGAGTGTGCGGGAACCTGCAGCCGCTATTACAGGATTTTTTCTATGGCTGCATATAACCTATCCATAAACTATGCATGTCTGCGCGACAAACGGAAATTTTATCTACAAACTATCCTTGATGAAGCTGCTTCAGAATCAAGCTCGTTTGCAAATACATCGAGGAACTGCAATACGGACTCAAAAATATTACATTGCAAGAATGTCTTGGTGTCTCAGTGGATACATGTAATATTAATATGAATCCCTGTATGGGGTTAAAAGGCATGAAAGCCGTGTTCTTGTCCATAGCCACATAGTGACTAGTCAGTCTTATAGAGATTGACTCCCAAGCTGTGCTGCATATCTATCTCTTCATCGTCTCCCTCCCACCTTGTTGGTCATTGGTGCATGAATATACATCACATGGGATACATGCTAGATCGTGGAAACACATACGTATAAAGTTCAATATCATCTACGGCCGTATGTACAAATGCGATAACACTGATGACATTCAAATACTGAGTTCGATATTTATCACTAAAATGGGGCGTATTCCAAATACGGAAAGTACCAAATCTACAACGCCGGTACCTTCGACCTATTTACATGCTTTCAACCACTTTGCGATAACGTTATTCCACATACTTGTTCCATAGACTGCCACAAGCCCGATCAACCCAACCCATCCTCACTCGAAAGATCCCAAGAATCGCCTTATCAAGCCAAAGATCTCGCAAAATCTTCCCCAAGCATTCTCAGCCTCCACCAACCTCACCAAGTACCAAGACATCCACAAATAACCTCCCACACAAACAGCCTCGCACAAACACCTTCCACCATCTCATCCACCAAATTCCCTTATCGCACCCAAAAATCCATCCTTCTAAATTTTCAATTCCAAAATTCCAGAATCCCATAAGTTAAGAAAACCCACCCAACGAAATCCCCCGAGTCCGTGCGCCCAAAAGTACCAGGCCTTGCATCCAACTGATAAGCATGCATAACCTCCATACACCATACCACAACACCACCTACCTAATCTCCCATATCTCCCCATCATCCTCCCATTCTTGCTCCCATCATACCCCGAGTTCTTATCTCTACGCCAATGACCATGCATACTCATCCTTGTTCTTGCCCTTACCTTTACCCTTACCATACTTCCATTCCATGCACATCATCGATATCCGCGATGAAGTCACCCGTCACATCACATCACATCATACTCTATACCATGTACATGCATACATACATACATACATACATCCATCCATCCTATCTATACATAGACAGACCCCGTCCCATTCCATACATACGGAGTATATGCACCCCGGACTCGGAGAATAAATAGGATACCGCGATAATGCTATGTGAGATATATGATTTGTGATGTCATGGTGGAGAAGCATGTTAAAACTGACGTCGTTACGACGTTGTTCGTCCGTTCGAGATTCTGAGAATTTCCAAGTTTCATTCGGAAATGATGATGTATCGCTAGAGTCTAGAGTCTAGACTTCAGAGTTTAGATTACAGTACATTACTACAGGCCCATACATACATACATACATACATACATACATACATACATACATACATACATACATACATACATACATACATACATACATACATACATACATACATACATACATACATACATACATACATGCATACACACATAATTTTATTTACCTCTTCACTTCTTCGAGCTCCCATAGACACAGCAATGAACAAACAAATGCATGATACAAAGCCCAGTTTTGTAGTATCTGATTATATAGTCATCTCATCTCCTCATTCATCAATAGTTACATACACCCATCTTACATCATTTCTATATACAATAAATGCTCACCACACTTTCCTTTCCCTTTTCATTCAGACATTTTGAATCAGATATGCCACCCACCAAAACCATTCATTTTTGATGACCTTCAAACCCAACCCCGATCATCAACCTAAAAAGCATAAACATAAACATAAAAAGAAATTAGATATCTCGTAAACAAAGTGTCCCTCACTCAACTCCTCGCAATAAAATAATATCCAAAGAATTTCATCAAAACCTCCCAAAATTACCCCTTAGAGCCGGCCATCTAATTTATCCTTCTCTTGCCATTGCTGCCTTCTCTTTATCCATCACTGCAATTCCATGTCTATCTCCCATAATCGTGTTGTGCGCATGTCCACCTTCACTTCCACTATTTCGTCCACTTCCTGGCGCGTGTCCCGTAATCATGTCGGAGGGGTTGGTTAGCATATCCGAGTGTTCTGGGATGCCATGACGATCTTCGGGGTTAACGTTACTCTCCACGTTTTCTGGTTCGTCCTTCGCAGGTGTCCATGCAAGGTAGTCTCGTCTTACTTCTACATAGTCGTATGCGAATTCGCCAAGTTGGTCGTCATCCATACCGAGGAGTTCGGCTTCTTCTGAGGCGCGTAGATGTAGACCAGGAATATAGTTGATGATGATAGCGAGGATGGCAGAGACGACGAAAGAATAAGCGGTGCAGGCAACGATGTAGGCGATTTGAATATAGAGTTGCTTGTAGTTGTGATTGAGCCAGCCGCCTGTGATGATACCGGTATTGACACCATCGAGTCCGATTACATAGTCTGCCGCAAACAAAGCGTTAAAAATTAGTCCAACGACACCGGCCATTCCGTGCTCAGCCAACACATCCATGGAATCGTCGATACGGATCCAGAACTTAATTTTGGTGCTGTAATTGCAGACGATACCGGTGACGATGCCGAGAATAACAGAAGCCCATGGAGGAATAAATCCAGATGTGGGTGTGGCGGCCACAAGACCAGAGATACAGCCCGAACACCAACCTACCATGGACCTATTTTATATTAGTGTGCAAATTTTGGAATGAAAGTAAGAAAACTGACCATTTTCTCGCAAGTCTCCAATCCAACAAACACCAAGTGATACTTCCAAACATAGCGGCCAAGCAGGAATTCCAACAAGCCATCACAGCTCTCAAATTCGCTCCAAAAGCACTTCCTCCATTGAATCCCAACCATCCAAACCACAGTAAAATTGTACCCAAGGTAATGAGCGACACATTGTGCGGTCTGAAGTTCAACATCATCTTTTCCTGTCTCTTGCCCAACACCATTGAGTATGCAAGCGCGGACATACCCGAAACAATTTCGACAGGTCCACCACCGGCATAATCGAGAACACCATATTTGAATCCCCAGCCATTGATATTCCAGACCCAGCAAGCGACGGGACAGTAGACAATAGTAGCCCAGAAAAATATGAATACCATCATAGGAACCAAACGACCTCTTTCAGCGACTGCTCCTACGACAATTGCGGCGGTTGTTGCGCAGAATTGTAACTAAATTCAAGCATTAGTCATCCATGCTATTTCCTCACCCTTCAAACCCAAGACCAAAAGCTACATACCTGATAAAAGCTGTACAACAACTCTGGAATCAGCGGACTCCCTGGACTTGGCGTGCCCAAAGTGTTCATCAAACCAAAATGTTTTAAATTTCCAATAAACCCATTCGTAGCCGTCGAACTAAAAGCCAGAGAATAACCCCAAAAATACCATTGGAAGACTATTATGGAAAAGGCGCCCATACAGGCCCATATCATCGAGAGTGCGGACTTTCGCCTTGCAAGACCGGAGTATAGGAAGCCTAGACCGGGGGGCATGAGTAGAACCATACATGCTGCTACAATGATAAAAGCTTGGTCGCCTGCGTCGAACCATTGGTTTAGATTTATGACAGCTGATTTTGGAGAGTAGATGTTAGTTTGAAGTTTTTCGTATCATGAAGCGCCTGTGGATTGAGGTGGTTGATTTGAGTGAGATAAGAGAGGTATGTGGAATGTACACATGGTGGGGGTACATTTTGGTACCTAGAGATTCGAAGAGATGAAAACATACCACTGTCGCCACCATTCGGTCCAGTACCATTGTAATTTGCAGGAGCTCCAACATAGCCATAGTTAGGGTAATATGCATCGGTTGACATCGTTATCGGAGTTCGGATTTTCCTGCAATTGACCTTCCTACTGGCGTTTTCCCCTTCAGATTTCCTTTGTATCGATGTTTTGGACAGGGAATGCCTTCGGGAACGACGTAGAGTTCTTCCTTCGTTGTACCAGGGTAAAGGTGGGTGATTTCGAGAAATTAGCAGAATACAATGAATGTCTGAGTGATGAGCGGCTGTTCTGGTTACAGCTAAGAAGAATTGGTGGTTTTAGAACCGTCGATGTTATATTGTCCTGCTACCGAATGCGGATACTAGGTTGCTAGTAGAGGTAGATTTCTTTCGAAACTAAGAGGTAGATAGTGAACAAAAACCCAAAGATTAATATTTCCAAAGTAATTCTAGAGTGCAAGTCCAGTTTCAAAATAAACAGTTTCAAAAACAGTAAACAAAATTCTGTGATTAGAGAAAATAAATCTCACATAATGAAACCAGAAGCATCGTTAGAAATCGGGACTGTTCTTTCCTTTAGTACTTTTCTACCAAGACGGTGGAGCTACCGCTTTTAAAAAACGGAACATCCGCATAGCAATTGGCAATTATGAACTTTATAATTATAATACCCACACATAAAGAGGAATATGCCAGACAAGCATCTTCAAGGAAATGCAAATACCCAGCCCTCAATGTCATGGATAGGGATACCGTGGTTTTCTTCTCCCAAGATATCGGATGATCACTCATCCTACCCAAAGATCGAATATACATACCAATCTCATCTCATGCCCAACCAGTCAGTGTTGCTTACAGTATTGATACCAAAAGGGTCTATTTGTCGATTGCTTCGTCTACTAAATACATAAAACTTTTTCTTTTTCCTTTATGCGTTCTTAGACACTCCGCACATGCAGATGAGGTCTGTAATAACACCAAGTAGATCATTTTAGATCGACAGGCCGAGAATTCAGCCAGTCAGGTTTTATCCATGTAACTGGGTTCTTCGATTCGACGTGGTATATTCGTGTGGGTGGACCTCAATCCAATTTATCCAAAGCTAGCCATGCAATCGAAAAAAACAGTCGGGAAAATTAACGGCTCCAGATTCGATTTCCATACGACAAGCCACGACAAGCCAAGAGATATGAAGGTACTGAGACGAGTAGATGTTTGTGACATGAATGACATCTACAGATATGTTATCATACACTATTGGTCAATGATATGTGCGTATCAATTCTCCAAAATCCATCCCCTAAATTTCGAGAAATCACTATTCTATTTCATGCACAAATTTCCTAGTAGAGACTGCAGGATGTCAAATCACATCAGCCCCCGAGATCGCAAATGTCAGATTAAGTTGTACGAAGATACACATGCCAGAACATGGCTGAAAGATAGGTACTCGAGGCTTACATGTTTCATCAAAAACTACTGGGTTCTATTGTCATACATGCAAAATGAGGCTATTTCTATTTCCATCTAATAATCCGGCACTTTAGCACCTGTGAATGAATATTCACGAAAATCCAGCAGATAAATCTCCACGGAAAATCGGAATTATTTCCAGAGCATGCCCGCCAGGGCAAACTCCATTGACTAAATCTCTACCTCCCGATTTTACCCATTGGTGAAATTGCACATCTTCTGTCAGCCCTTGAATTATGGGGTACATGTACTAGACGAGCATTGCCCATGTTGAAGCACGAGAATTGAATACTTTAGTAGCTTAGGTATGTATCTTAGCGAGTCTGTAGAGATATTCCCGAAAAGTAGGTAAGCGGGATGAACTACGGATGGACGTTTTGAACTTTTGATATTTGGAAGAACTAGAGTCATGGGATTTGAATGGAGAATTGGTTATCTGATCTGGCAAGACTTGAAGCTTTTGACTGGCTGATTGGGGATTGATATTAGAGCCCAATATCACACTTATAAAAGTAAGATTCTCGCGTGAATATCGAAATGACTTCTTTTCTTCCTTTCTTTTTCTATCATCCATACAATAGGATTCCGTCTCAGCTGGTTACCATCATTCATACGAAGCATCCAGGTCAACCTTCAATCTTACTCCGATTTCGCTTTCACCCACACTCATGCCCCTTTCCTCTCCCCAGTTTGTCGTCAACATGCTTGTCTATTCCCCGCCTGTGGCGCCTGCAAAAATGGTACCCTCATGTACCTATCCTCCTGGTTGGTAACTTGGGGTTTCTCTACTGCATGGGAAGGGAACATCAGCTTACAGATATGTATGATGAGAGTGACTTTTATTACTCATGAACGGATGATTTTTCTTTGTACATCTTGCGTTTCTTTTCCTTGCTTTTCTCTAGGACAGTCATCAATGTAATGGTTATACAGCATGGTGAGTATCTTTCGACTGCCCCTTCATTCTCGTTTATTTCCATCGATTTCATTCATTGACTGGCGAGATCTATCTACTCTACTTCACGCAACCAACATACCAAGATATTTCATAAAAGTCCCTGTTTCAAAGCCAAAAGTATTACTCCCTCATACATGACGTATTCACTTCTTCCGGGACTCCTAAAACATCAATTTCTCTTTCCAAGCCTCCCCTCTCTCACCTCAGAGTCTTTGACCTCTTCAAATTATCAACAAATAACTAACAATCTTCTTATCAAGATAAGCTCCTAAAAAGATCTAGTGCGCTCCTTAGTCTTATCGTCGTTGAAATCATCCAATAGAAACACGCATGACAAAAAGCCTTGACATGTACATTGACCAATGAAACGGCGGAACTTCTTTCACCAGTCTTCGTTATCTTTAAGTTTGAAATTTGTGAAAGCTAAAATTTACTAAGAATTAGCAAGGTACATGCTCCGCTTTCAATGGGTCTCAGGCGATTTTGAATCTGGAATTATGGGACTTTTGTGGATACTTATGGAAGGGTTCTAGAAAAGGCATTGAAGCGATACAGTAAGCGAGGAGATGAGTGGAGTGAATTTTAAATACATCGGGGTCCATGCTTTTGTTTCCTTTTTCTGCAAACTATAATCTCCCGCTCGGTATGTATTGTATGCTATTATTGTCGATGGAATGTAGGCCATGCTTTTAAGTTCCATATTTCTATTCTAATGAACGAATGTGTCTTATTTTATTGTTATCTATACATATATACATAATACTGCGGCTGAAATATTAGTTGAAGATGGGAGAGGAGCGGTTTATTGGGAATAGTTTCATGCGCACGATACACTGCACTTGCTAGACAGGATAACCCCCACGCTTCTGGGATGCAGGTTGTAGGCAAGTGAGGCTGTCTTTCAGGTCCAGAGCGCTTACAGCGGGATTGGCAGTTGCCTCGTCGTCGTTGGGCTTTGGCCATAGCTATAATAGGAGAATGATATGGATAGATAACGAGGTCATGAGACAAGAGAAAAGAAGTCGATTCAGAGATCAGAGTTTGGAACTACCTGTTTGTGTACTTGGCATCAAACTATCTTGATCATCTTCCATTCTTCTTCAGAACTTTGAGGTCAATATTGTTCATCGGAGGAGCCTCTTGTTCCATCCTCTTTCCTATGTGCAAGTGCTTTTTTCTTTGGTTTACATGGCCAATCTCTATTATCTTTTTACTTCTCGATAATTCTCATCCTGTCTTCCTCAGGTTTTTTTCATTCATATTTCGTCTATTTCTTTTAGCTCTTCATATTACTCAATAACTTTCCTCCCACCACTTCTCTTCTATAGGTTCGATTCTAGGAGATGGTAATATGAGCAGTGTTTCTCGGACAATTCACTCGTTTCCACATGAATCCCTTCAATATTGAGAAGCAATAGGAACTTTCGCTAAGAGGATTTCATTTGTATTTGAGTTGTGCTTCACGAGGATATGTATTTTACCACTTGGAATAAGCTTGTTGTTGAGCACATTGTCAAAAGAATTTCATCCATTCAGCAGTTGGAGAAGGAACATATCTAGCTTCTTCCACCTGGGAAAAAAGGTTTGAATACTGGTGGGAGTGGGGGCGACATCCAGGTTAGGTGGAATATAGTAACTAAAATGCAGAATGCCACACTCGATTCGTAATATCCAATCGCTCTTCCCAGCTATACTTGAGACTCAAGGCTGCTAAAAGACTACAAAACCATGAAGATGTTTCAGGTTGATGGTGTTGTAGGCAGTAGATCAGTTCCATCCTTAAAAGGACACTCTCTGCGGTGGGGAATTCTTTTTAGGAGTCTTGTACCAGACATATATTGATGATGTGCGGACATGTCTCCTGCCACCGATCGAAAATTGTGAGGTGGATGGGACTGCATCCGACCAAGCCTTTCACCTTGAAGTCGGAAACTCGGTTTGCATGTACTACACTGTATCTGAGCGAGGGGCATTTGTGATTAGAGCTGATAGTGTGACTAAAGCCCTAAATTGGGATATTCACATTGAAATAATATGGAATAGCTTGCAACAGTACCTCGCCGCGAGACTTCCCTTTTTATCAGAGTATGGAAGATGAATTAAGTGTTAAAAGAAAGACAGGCGCATGTTACTCGGCCCTTACCGTAATTGACAATCTATCTGTACAATAAATACTTGTGTACTGTAGATCAACATCGAAGTCTGAGTAACAATCCTCGTCAAATCACATCGACTGGTACATTCCGAGGTTTCACAATGCTGAATAAGTATATGCACACTCACCTCATCCAGTGATCAAAGTAATGTAACCTTAAGCTTGACCCCTCATTTATTTTTAGTAGAGCAACGAAACCTATCCAACGTTGTCAGGACAATTATTTCATTTGTCAGCCTTTCACATGCTCTCCAATTTTTGGCATGGACAAATTTAAGAATAGTCAATGTGTACTGGCTCAATAAACTGACGACTTTTAGGATATACTAGTGTGGTGATATAGCGGAGTCAGTCGCTCATTGTTTATAACAGTATTGAGAGGATGACTTCATTATATCATTATTCGCTCAACACGTGCAGGAAGATATAAATTGGAACTCGTCACGATTTACAATCTAAGTCCAACATTGCACATTGATTATTGCGACAGCTTTCAACCATTTGATTCCACGTCGCTTCAAGATACATCCTCACACAAAATTCTCAACATGACATCAGATCCCACCTCCCCAATCCCCATCATCAACTTCTCTCCCTTTCTACACCCCACCTCCGAGACCTCTCGTCTCGAAACAGCCAAAGCGCTAGTCGACGCCTGTCGTCATGTCGGTTTCGTATACATCATTAATCATGACATTCCCTCTTCATTACTCGAGAAGGCTTTCGCAATGACGAAAAAACTATTCGATCTTTCACACGAGGAAAAAATGCAAGCAGAACATCCGCCGGGTCCAGCTGTTCATAGAGGTTATTCGTATCCAGGATTGGAGAAGGTTTATCAGGTTATTAGTGATGATGTTGAATTGGGAGAGAAGCTGAGAGACGTTAGGGATTGTAAGGTGGGTTTGTTTGGGACTTTATCTTATATCTGATCTTGCTTTTCAAAATCGCATTTGGGACTGATTGAATGAAGTGGAACTCAATTGAGTTGTTTTGTATCCGTCTATAAATGAACTAACAAAACAACATCATCACAGGAAAGTTACGAAATCGGCTCTGAAAAAAACCCCGAGCAGCCCAACATCTGGCTTCCCGAATCTACTCTCCCAAACTTCCACTCCTTTATGCAATCCTTTTACCACCGTCTCTCCTCTACCGCACATCAAATTCTCTTAGCTCTCGGCACAGGACTAGAGCTCCAGAATCCCTCCGTACTTGCGGATTTCCATTCCGGAAATGGTAATCAACTACGACTCCTCCACTATCCGCCAATCCCCGCCTCCGAAATCGAAAAAGGAATTACAGCCAGAATGCCAGCACATAGCGACTTCGGAAGTATCACCATAGTATTCCAAGACGAATGCGGAGGATTAGAAATCGAACATCCTAAGAAACCTGGTGAATTTATCAGGGCAGATCCGGTTAAAGATGCTATTGTGATGAATATAGGGGATTTATTGATGAGATGGACAAATGGTATACTATTCCTCCGTTTCTTTCTCGAAAGTTTCTATAAGTTATCGTATCGGAAACTGGCATGTTAACAAAATACAGATGATCTCAAATCAACACTTCATCGCGTAGAACTCCCTCCGTTAAGTACTCGCTATACAATTACGGACGAAGGAGAAAGAATAACGCACGCGCGTTATTCGATTCCATACTTTTGTGGTCCCGATGCGGATAAGGTTATAGAAGTACTTGGGGACTGTGTAAAGGAGGGCGAGGAGAAGAAGTATGAACCGATTACGGCGGGGGACTATTACAAGATGAGGAATGCATTGGCGTATAAAAGTTAGGGGGAGACTGGAGAGCGTCGGGCTGAACGATCAAAACAAAAATAGGTGATGAGTTTATTTAACTCCTTGGCTAGTGGTGGCTTGTTGATTTCTCGACCTTTTTACTTGATTGATATGGTGTTTTCGCTTTTCTGATGCAAAATAATCTTAAATTTATTGTCAAGGCTATATAGCTATACACAATCCAACCGTAGCTCCAAAGATTATTCATATTGTCATAATTTCAAGTCGCAAAGGATCTATTTTAGTGGCGAATCTAGCATGAACATGGAGAACCTCGTATTCCTTTCCAGGCCGGTCACTCCATGAGTCGCAAAGAGGTTATATTGGTGCTTTCCGGAGATAGCACTTGCGCTGCTAAAATTTCCATGCAGATAGAGTAAACCTACATCCTCTCCCTGAACTGCCCCAAGGACAATTCCTCTTCGCAACATACGAATTTGCAAGTTGACACACCCTCCGCTGTTAAGCTCAATATGGCAAGTACGATTGTGAGTCTATGTAATCAGGGATCGTAGCTCTAACAATAAGACAACTCTCCTCACACCTAGAAGAATAACTCTTTCAGTGCTCGCTTCCCACGCCCCGATTCCCTATTCTGTGCCTCCGTCACATCCCCTCCACCGTTCTAACATCTCTTCTCGACAAGATTTTAAGAAAAACTAGACGTAGCACAGAAACCGTATCTGAAGTATCCGTGCATCCACTTTAAATCATCCATATTCCAGGCCGATGAACCAATCTCTTCATTTTTGTCGTTGAAACGAGTAGTAGGACATATCTTGGCGAGCTTCATTTCTTTGGTGATTTCATGTACTCATTGAGCGCGCATGTGTTCGATCCATTAACTCGCTTCGATGAATTGGTTGTGCTGTAGGGTTTTATGTCTGCTGGTGTGGAGTGCTTGAGAGGTGAGGTGAAGTTAGTTTAGACCGCGGGGCTTGAAGTAAATCGTTATTCAGTGGTTGAAAGAAAGAGAGGTGGACATCTGGGAGGTAAGATTGTTTTTTAATTTTTATTTTAAAGAAATGATGTTGCTACTAAGAGTTGCTTACGGATGAGTAAAAGTAAGTGTCTTGAAGATATTGTGAGGAGTGTGTTTTCGTGAGATTCCTACTCCTTTTTACTTCAAATGATTTTCTAAAACATCATCCCATCCATAATTTCAAAAACTATATAGTCGAGCGAGCCTCCAAAACTATAGACATCAGTTCAAATATTCCTATTGTTGTCTTGAGTTAGATGAATCCGGTGATAAGCATAAGTGCTGCGAAATCCACTGGCTGTGTTTATCTTAAGACTGTTTGGCCCCAAGCGTCATGTGTGAGTATGATCAATCACCACAGACCGTATATATGGTGGCTTTGCCGTATCCATATGTGATCATTTCCTGTAATGGCATAAGAGCTAGAAGTGCACTTGAATTTTGCAAGGAAAGGCTCTGGATACTTTGCTAAAAGATGAAGGTATATTATAGATACCTGTGCTGATAACTATAAGTATTTATAACTATGAATACATTTAGATACATGCTGCATCGAAAGCTATTTGTAACTCACATAAAGTAATAGCAGTTAAAAGGATGATAATATCTAGTAGCTCGAAGTTAGCTCGGTAGATTTGAAGTGCTTTACTTTCGCGACTAGACGACTATAGATAGCGAACAAGAACATTTTCATACATATGTTATGTGAGAAACTGTGGTGTTGGGTTTATGTTGGTATGGTATGGGTTTGACAAATTGCACCGTCACCAGGAAAAATTCGAAAGTATGACAAACAGTAGACAGAGGTATACTGACTTGTAAGGAAGATTAAATGGAATGTACTTCAGGGGTCGTCGTGGGCGGGAATCAGCTATGATAGCGCCTTGTATCGACTTGTCGATGACCAGTACAGGTAAGATGCAGAGTTACACCGGAATTGCTTCTGAAAATCGAAGCAACAACTCGAAAAGGCACCGGCCACATATAACATATCTTTGTCTTATTTTTCGCAACTACAGGAGTTCCATGCCCCTTCTTCACCTTTCCGATGAATGACTTCTCACGGTAGCAACTAGCAACCAATTATCAGGCGTTACACGAACCTGCACCTATCCGCCGCGTACTTGCATACGCCCAAGCAATAACCTTCCACATTTCACTCATCTGTTGCATATCGTATGATCTGGAACATTTTCAATAATACATCGCCTTGTACTTACAAACGGAGTATATCCATCCAATGGCACTTTTGCGTAGGTGGGAGGGAAACGACAGAAGATTTCGAGGTGGTCTAGACTTCTCGCTTGGGTGTTTCCGACGAGGTGTCGGAGTTGCGTGATTCTATTTGATGGGTTTATAGGGTTGATGCGGTTGTGTTAACGCAATAGGAAAATATGTATGGGGCTTGATGTGATGAAATATATGGACGGAAAGCCACGGCGGTCGAAGGCAAAAATGAGATGTGCAACAATTTATTTTGATCGGATTGAAAAGATGGTGGTGTGCAGAAGAGCGCGATCATGTGAGTAATTTATCATGTGAACATGCGGATGTGTAACATCTTGTCATTAGTCATGTCATTGATTGCCCAGTGGTCTATAGTTTGAAAATATTCATGTTTTAGAGCCTGCGAATAAGGTTCTCTTGCGGAGTTTTTCGATCTTGTATATCTTCAGGATGCCATGTAATTTTTTATTATTCTTCAAAGTGTCACATAATTGAATGCTTTCAATCCAATGCCCGTTTTATGCTTGAGACAGGGAAATCGGGTACCATATTTTCGACTACGAAAGGAAAGTAGTGGCGGGGAAAACAGGAAGGGGGAAAAGGAGCTGGTGGAGAATACAATATTGCCAAGGTCGAGAAGCAGAGTTTTGCTTCACAGAAAGATGGTGTATTCAAGTTCACCACAGATTCGAGTATCATTCCAGAGAGATTCTTACAAGCTACATCACTTTCAATTATCAGTATGTGCAATGACAGGAAAGGGTTCCCTCCTGGGCACCTATGTACGGCAACAGTGGTAGGTGCAGACAGATAATTGGTGAATTCTGGTCATAGTGAATATTTATCTTGGATAGACGAAACATTTCTATACAACAAGTGACTGTATATAATACACAGAAAGCATATAAGCCTTTGACTTGTCACCAACTTCCTGAAACAAACAACCAAACACTTTATGATCTGCATCCAAGACAAACTCTCCTGGATATTTCAAAACGAACAATATCCAGCTCACTTCTCCAACCATCCACGACTTATTAACCATGGGAAAAGGCAAAATCCAAAGACGTAAAGGGAAAAAGGCCAGCCCTAAGAATATGCCAGGAGTCTCACTAAAGAATCACCTAATGGCAAGGAGTTTCAATGCTGCTGCAGTAAGTCAACACTTTTACTCAAATTCCTAGCAGCAAGTCGTGACCACTTAGTCCCATATTAAATATTTTCAGACTAGACAAACCATGAAGGTACAAGGAAAATACGGCAGACTCGTGAACGAGCGGACAGACATCAATGTAAGTGGTTTCGAAACCGCAGTAAATTCTCTCCTGAAATTGACCTTTATCCAGTCTCAGGCTTGGGCCAACTCTATTCGTCCACAGAAAACAGAATGTTTGCTCATGGATCTGCCACCTGAAGTACGTCTCAGGATCTGGGAATTTTGTATTCGAAATCTTCGTATGTGCCCTCTTCTGTCTGCAATATACCACAGTATGAGAGACCACCGATGCTAACCTATTCAGCTTGCGGCAGACGCCCCGTGATGATTGCGAGGTCTGAGCGGCAATTCAAACGGGATCAGCATTTGATCGAGCGTAAGCATTATAGCGGTCAAGTCTACGCAGCTCTTAAGCGCGCAAAATTCTTCGACTCAGTGCATCCTAACTTTCGAGCGCAGATGTTCAATCTTCTCATGATTTGTCGCCAGGCGTGTCTCGAGATTGTGGGTGGAGCACTCTTGTACAAACTCAAGGCCTTCCGGTTCACCCACCGGACAATTATGGCTCAATTTTGTATTAGAATCGAACCGCTTTGGAATTTTATTCGAAGTCTAGTTCTTGACTTCGAGATCTTTTCTAGTTCAAGACTTTCTCACGTTTTGGGTGTCAGAGGATTTAAAAAATTTCCAAATCCTTAAAGAATTGAGAGTGAAGGTGAAGATACGCACCGGAGTTCGGGCAGATGAGGACCCTCTTAGCCCACAGAATCTGACAGATAGTTTTGTATACTGCAAGAGATTATGGCAGTGGATCATGCGAACTCCGAAAACTGAGACGCACCGCCTCAATAGTTTCTACATCGAAATCAGCGGTGTTGAAGAACTTTGGCCTTTCTACCTCAGATTCGGCGGTGATAAAAGTGGTTGGCATATCATCAGGAATGACTATGCTATACAATTCATGGAAGTGAACGGTATAGCCTTTCGACTCGCGAAAACATATCCAAGTACCCACAAGATGAAAGGTTTAAGTGAATATGACCCACCCAAAGATGGGTTTATTTGGTATGATTACGAGCAACCTGTCTTTGATGTGGAAAGTGCTCAGGGGTTTCTTGAAATGATGCAAGACGAGCACGACGAGCAAGACGAACAGGACGAGCAAGACGAGCAAGACGAGCAAGACGAACAGGATGCAGAAGAGGAGCGAAGACAGTAAGAAGATGAGGACGAGGAAGACGAGGATGAGTAAAGATGAACCATTTAAAAGCACAGCAATAACCTGCCTTTTGTTCACATACAACTATCCCGATAAAATCGACCCCAATAACTCTACAACCAAGCATGAACAATACAAGAATTGTTCACTAAATCATAATCCTGTAAATATTAAGATAGTAATACAAAAATTTACAAATTGCTCACCCGTAATACTGGTGACACTATACTTGTCTGCTTCTCTCCCTCGATCTTGCGTCTAGCTTCTTCATTTCCCCTCTTCCACATATCTATTCGTTTCAAATGTCCATTATCAAACCCTTCTCTCCACCACTTTTCAAACTTCGGTAAACTTCTACCTTTACCGTCTTTTGGTTCGCCGGCCATCTCCCGTATAGTCTCAAAATACTCCTCGAAGTCGGGGTATAGAGCCGTGAATTGTACTCCATCTCCTTTTAATGCAATTCTATCGCCTTCCCATTTCTTTTGCTCTTCGGTAGAAGGAAGAATGATGCGTCCGGCTAAAAATCGTGCTGCTAGTACAGCTTGCCATTCGAAAACTTTGAATGTGAATCCTGCGCCCACAGCACCGACGAAAGTTAAGGTAGGGTCCTCGCGCCAAAAAATATGTTGATAAAGATTTGGGAGACGATTATTACGGATTGTAGAATCTAGATTAGGAATGAAAGGAAGTGTCCAGGAATATCCAGTCCCGAATATAATATAATCTACTTTTTCCAACTTACTTCCATCTTCAAAATGTACTGTTCTTTCATCTGTGCCAGGATCTGAGGTTATGTGAGATATTGGCGGACGTCGAAGAATATTGGGATGTTGGAAAGCATAGTCGAAAAAGTAAGGATGGTATCTGCCCCGAACGACAGCATGAAGAGGTCGCTCGACATAATCAACGAGAGCATAAGATATATCGGGTCCGGAAATACTAGCACCAACAACTACCACACGCTTTCCTTGATATGGTTCTGGGTCACGCCAAGCTTTTGAGTGAAGAACCCTACCAGGAAAATTTTGAGAAAAGGTAGAGAGACCCGGAGTTGAAGGTATAAACGGAACGTTATAGTGTCCCGCTGCTACAACCACCGCATCAAAAGACTCTGTCCACCATCTATCCTCAATTCCACTGTCGAGTGGTTTGCGCAACGTCAGAACCCATTTCGATGTGTGTGGGTCTTTATGCACAAGCTCCACAGTGGTGTCATACGATATCAGATCCGGATATCCTCTTCTATCCACCAAATCTTGAATATATTTCTCCACAACCTTCCAATGACGAAACGGTGAATCATTACCGTGTCTCTTAATATTGACTGCAGATCTTGTTTCCGGAAACGGTTCTTGAGAAAATGACATGGCAAATGCATCAATATTCGTTTCCAGCGTAGGATATATTGACGTATCAGAAAATCGATATTGAGTATTATGCGGAAGAATGGCGGGAAGTTCGGACGGGATTGGGAGAGGCTCATCTGCCCTGCGAGAAGCAATCTTCTCAAAGTCTGGTAATTGTTGGACGTGATCTTTGGGATCTCCGAGCCTGGAGGGGAAAATGAGTGATTGTTCTGTTTATTCAGAAATATCGTACTAACCAACATCCTCCAGCTTTCTCCCTTCTCTCAAGGAGTCGAATTTTATCAAATGCTTGCTCTTGCGCCAGAGCATCAAGTGCAATTGCGCCGGCAGGTCCTGCGCCGATGATTGCTACAGATTTGATGGTAGCCATGTTCTATGAAATATTCCTTTGATGAGTATATTGACTGATTGGTATCACAACAAAGTCATGGAGGGCGTAAAAAGAGTAGAGAATGCTTCAGAGCACATTTCATACTCTTATTTACCATCTTAGTGCCGCGGAAGTAGAAGATCTGCAAGGAAACGAATATGGCGAAATTTGTCGTGCATATCCCATCACTCGGGTTCGTTTCGGTCATATGAGCATGGATCTAGATCTAGATCTAGATCCAAGATAAGATTAGATCTTGCAGGTGGTCTATGATGCGCACAAAAATCTAATCTAGATCACAACATGAGTTTGTAATGAATGCTCACTCTTTATTTTTTTGATCACTAATTCCTTCTTGACCGCAATATGGTTCTTAATAAAAGATGTATATCACGACTTCACTCCTATAGTAGTGTCCATAGATAAAATCATTGATCTAGAAACAAAAGAAAAGTTTTGGAAGCCACTGTCGCATTCGACATTGATAAAACTACGTAGTTGAGCCCTCGTTACGGTCCCGAGATACTGAATCTTCAAAGAGTATCACCAAATTCATCACCCGCCTCTCCCGCGCGCTCCCTTTCCAGATTTGTAAGATCTCTTAGTTCCTCTTCTGCCTCTGTGCACAGAGTACAAGCCTCCGTTACCCTCAACCAGCCACACAATGCCATCGCCGCATGTGAAACAGTCGTTCGCGCCTCTTCATTCCGTGCCCTTTCTTCCAGACCATCGACCAAATATTCTCCCCACTTGTAAAGATTTTTCATGCCCATAACAGCATCTGACTCGGCTCGATGAGGTGCCATCTCATCTCTTCTCGCTTTTCTCCAGAGATATGTGCTGATTACTTCGATGTTGTCCATGAGAGTTTTTGAGCGGTCATCATTGTACGCTCTTTCCCGTCCCTTGCCTCGGTATGGATGGTATCTGTTAGAGTACGACCGACGACGTTCATACCGGAGGCCAGTACGAGAAGGATCTGGGAGAGCACGAATGTAAGTTGTGGTTGCATCTAGACATATTTGATAGAGGGTGTTCAAAAGGAAGTAGCGCTGCTCTGGTATTGAAATTGGCGGAACGATTGTACTGTCTGAAGCATTTGAAATGGACATCTTACTGTCAAATCTTGATTTGGGCAATAAGTGATTTCCTGTTGGATGTATGGAATCGTGGCCCGATGGAGGATCATTTAGCATCATAGCAATACTAGGGAGACGGCTGCGAGAAACAGGGCGGCGTAGAGGCGGAGCACGTGAATTCCCAGCGCAGTTGCCACTTGTGCCAGCACCTCCTTGGCATTGACAGTAATTCGAGTCTGATGCGGAGTGAGAATTATGACGGCTTGAGGCAGGTGTGGTCATTAGACAATCCGGATCAGGATCATTCATCGTGTCAATATTTGAAGAGGTTCCATGCAACACATACCCTTGAGATGCTCCATTTCCGCCTTGAGCGAGCTTGCTTCCTTCACCACCAACGTTTTCGGTCGCTGAAGGCATATGACTACCCGATGAAATAGGAGAATTAGGAATCGCTTGATCAGATAAGTGTACAGGATTATTAAACCCATGTCTAATGCCTCTAAAATTTCGGGAGTGAGGTAATAAATCCATCTCATCGTTGGTAAACTCCATGGCGCAAAAGAAAATTCTCATGAGGGTGGAGATGGTACTTCCGGAAGCTGGAGATGAACTACTAACAAAGTTTCTCAAGCCAAGGGAACAGGGTTCAGTTCTTATAAGAGGCAGTAGTTGTGATGAGAAAGGCAATGATTCTCGAAAGGAACATACTCAACTAGCATATTCTCTAGTATGTTTGAAATTTAATATGTAATAAGCTAAAGTTCTGCATGGAAAGCATGTAACGGCAAAGAGCTACGGAGTTGCTTGCTGATACTTTGTACAAAAGGATCTGAAACTCTTCCATTTTTCCATTCAAGTCTATTCTATGCGTTCCAAATGACAATTCTTCCATCAACACCACTCGCTTAAAACAGATTAGCCTCTCTCCAAAGATCTAGATTATCAGAGTACTTACTAGTAAATTTGCTAACACCAGTTTCCGAACCTTCGTAAACACGGATGGTGCTAATAGTATTTTGATGCACAGTTGTCAATTGTGTATCATCCTTGACCTTTCCCTTCAAGTCCATTTGCTTGAACATATTGAAAGCGCTCTCCTCCCCAACGTCCTTGACCGGGCCCCCCTTTGATTCCAGAGAACCAGTGAGTTGCCAGCCTCCTTCGTTACCACCAAATCGGAATGCCTCACAGTCATAACCTGCCGCAATGATTTCAGCTTCGCCGTTCCAGATCAAACTCATGAAAGGCAGAAGCTGTGTGCTAACACTGACAACAGCCTTTGGAGGTTGGTCTGCGCCACTGGGGTATACGACCGTGATGCTGCTGTCATGCGCAGCAAAGGCCAGAGCATTTCCGCTCGGCGAAAACGAAACTGCATGAACCCATCCAGCAGAGTTGTTGAGATATTCTCCACAGACGGTGTTAAAGGGTAGACGTTCTCCCCAGACACCGGGTTCCGGCCTAGCGTCTACCCCTTTGATGAAACTCGAGAAAACTCTCGCATGCGCATCGGTGGAACCTGCAGCTAAAAGTACAGAGTTTGGATGCCATGCAACAGTTGTGATTGTGCTACGAATCGGCTTCTTGATATGTTTCGAGACCCACCAGTCGTTCTCCTCCTCAAAGTAGCAGATAGCAATCACTCTCGCACCGGATCCAACGGCGAACTTGGTTTCGGAAGGAGACCATCGAACAAACGTGGCAGCGCGGTTGATTCGAAGAAGAACGAGAGTTGGTTTGTAACCAGTGGGAGATGGTTCCCAGACCAAAGCGTTACGGTCTAGCCCGATAGTATTAGCATTGTTGAGTTCAAACTGGAAGCTTGAATAAGTACAAACCTTGAGAACATGTTACAATTCTGCCGCTGTTAGGAGCAATATCGACACTGGTGACAGTCTTGTCATGACCTTTCAATTCGTCCTTGAGCTTGAATCCCTTACCATCTCGTCCGTAAAGCTCAACACTGGTGTCGCGTGCTACAGCCAATGTCTGTCTATCGGCCGAGAAGGAATGATCCGCGATAGGATGATGGAAAAGGTGATGAACTTCTGGACCAGGCATTTTGTTGCTTTTTGATAGGAGGAGCTCTCTACTATCACATTGATTATGCTACTTATGTTGGCATTACCGCATGGACGAGAGATGCTTGCTTAACGTGGGGCGGGTACTCCGTGTAGGTTTGATGACTAACTACTTTAAGCTAGCGCAAGGCTGCGAAAGGCGGACTCTCGAAATTTATGATATTGACATATTGTACCTCAAAACTCCAATTCAACGCGACAGACTTCTGAAGATTTACAGAATGAGTACCGCAGTTAAAGCTCCAGTTAGGACATCGTTCCCTCCAAATCAAACACTCTACATCACCAATCTACCTTCGTCAAAGATTCAAAAAGATGATTTGAGGAGAGAGCTTTACACATTATGCTCGACTTACGGGCCAGTTCTTGATGTCGTAGCTCTTAAGTCAATGAAGATGCGGGGTCAAGCACATATTGTATACAGAGATATTCAAACCGCGACTCAAGCTATGAGAGCATTACAAGGATTTGAGTTTCTTGGTCGTGAAATGGTTAGTTGGGAATTTCACGTTTTCATTCTTTGTCTGCTTGAAATAGTCACGGCTGACCTTTATCTTAATAGAAAATTCAATATGCCAAATCAAAGTCAGACACCATTGCTAAATTGGATGGTACTTTCCGCATGCCTTCCGCAGCAGCAGGTGCTGTGACGGCCACAGAATTACAGCAAAGTATTTTTAATGCGCCGCCTTCCGCTTCCGCAGCTATCACAACAACCACCCTACCCCCTCCACCACCGCCATCAAGTCTTCAGGTCCCAATTTCTGCCCCTGATCATGCTATGGAAGATGCAACAAGCCCAGGTGCAAGTGTTGCAGGACAGAAGAGACGCCGGGATGAAGAGGAGGAGGAAGATAGTGAAGGAGATGTTGCCATGGAGGAAGATAGCGATGATGATTAGCGACAGATAATATTGCATAACAGGGCGTTGGGGATTTGAGGCGTATTGGGCTCGGTCACATAATTAGCGGCTTAAAAGGATCTAAAGGGCTACGGCTCGTATACAATTCGCATATGAAGTATATTGGCCTCTAATGACATGTCACATATAGTCTGTGGGACTTTTTACAGTAAAAACGCGCATACCTAGCCTCCTGTGTCACGGTCGTGCAACCATCTCGTTGTTTAATACTCGCAAAAAAAAAAAAAAAAAAAGACTCAACGTCTATGTTAGTTCACGGATTGAAGAATTATATATCTAATAGATGCAACGCCTTCGCAAGCTAAAATGTCAATTGCTCTTCTCTATATCTTCCCGGGCCATTTCGTGTGGCATACATAGACCTACACATCCGCCTACTAGGCCGAGCCACACCATCAAATAATCATTTGCTGGACAGTCAAAATTTTCCATGGCCTCTTTGGTTTGACATGGATGAATGAAGAATGCTGGTACATCTGTGATGGGATGCGGCTGGGACTTGATTAAAACGTGTTGGCATGACAGATTTCAGAACTTACAGCAGCAGAAATTCCACCCATGACTCCTATTGCACGAAGTTGACTTTTATACTGTTCTGGTACAAGATGTCGATAGACGGAATTTATATCAAATGCAGGTTCATCCATTGGTAAGTCATGGAGCATGAACCATAGTGTTGGTATTCTATAAGTAGGATGTAGGTGAATTTCGTAAGTAACATAAGGCTGGTGAGAATATAGACTGTATTTCGGAATATTATCACTAGTCGTCGTAGATGATTTGTTTACATCTAGTGCCTCCTGTATCCTGTCAACAAATTCAGATACTCATATATGATCAACATGAACGAAGAGAGTCACTAACATCGTCCTCATCTTCATCCATCATATCCACCTCTGGGCTGGGAGTAGGATTTGGAGCGTGACCACTACTCAAATTGCTAAGGGCAAGTAATAGATCATCATCATCCTTCGGTGGTTGAAGTAATCGAATAATTTCAATAAAGCATGACCCAGTGGTTGCAGTCCGTCCCATGCGTAACTTGAGATTCTTCCTTGCGGGACCTAATTCTGCTCTGATATATCTTCGATCAAGATACGCACAGGCAAGTTCAAACTCTTCCTCCGTGAGAAATGGCCACTGACGGTATTCGTCGCGATGTACCGCCATGATGAATTACTTAGCACTAGCTATAGTAGAAAGAGTTTGTCTAACCCACGAACTAATATCGATGCAGATGCAAACGCCTTTTTGAACTTGTAGCAGGTATATGAATATTTGATATAGCCGTCCGAAAAACTCTTCATAAATGCAGAATAAAGTAGATCTGCTTTACTATTACCGTGAAGTCGAAAAGAAGAAAAAGTATGAGCTGCAAATGTGAGGATTCGGTAGTTGCTGTTAGACCATAAAGTTGTAGCTACTATTCTCCTTACCTAGTTACCTCTGATTAAAAAAGTGGCCAAGGGTAGGTACTCAGAATCTACTCCATACTAAAAGCTATTCCATAGGTAAATTCAAAGAACACGAATATCACCGATAATTACCCAATCATGCTATATGGAGTTGAAACATCATTATTTAATTGAACCGGAGTTCGACTTCTTCAATCAATCTTAAACTAAGATACTGGGTGTTTGATTGTGTCAATTGAAGGAAAATTGAAGCTGGAGATGCCCAAAATGTCAAGATCTACCTCCCCCGTACTAGGTGAGTTAAGGTTACAGGGCTGAAAAGAAAGCCTGTAATTAAATCCAAGGCTCGGTAAGTACTACGCCTTACGTGTACTGTTCTCTGTACTTATCTCTCGATGACACTTAACAAGCTTCAAGTATTTTAAATCTTCGTTTTCTGTTGTTGTTTTCTAAAGTCGCTCCTTCCAGCAATGAAATGATTTTGAAGTTTCCATGAACAGTCGCGACCCGTTTAATTTACGCCGCTCCCCAGCATTCGACATCCTTCGAGGCACTGCGACACAAGCGGCTTCAAACATCACTCAGAGGGTTAAAGAAGTAGGCGAACAAGCTTTTGAGTCTGGGAAGCAAGCTGTTGAAGAGATGTCCACTTTTTCAATACCGAAGAACGTCCCCTCTTTTACAGACCCTCAGCGGAATTTGGAAAACAGAGCTTGGGCGGCCTCTGGCATGACCGCGAGATCATCGACTGCAAACACAAGTGGAGGAGTAATTAGTGGCATACAAGACCGGGTTGGAAACCTCCTTGGTGAAAGTAGGGATCTGCCGATGTATAAAGACAAGCCATACTCATATGCCTCCTCCAGGAGGGCATTGCCTATCTACAAGCGGCGGCGCATTATCTTTGGAGGCATCGCATTTGTGGTTTTTGTGTTATACCTCTTAGGGTTCTTCGGATCTAATGACTTGACGAAAGAAAAATCAAAAGACAAATGGAGATGGCTGCAGCGACCTGAAAAGGAAGCCAAGGCAATCGATTGGCTGGACCGAAGAGAAAGGGTCAAGGAGGCTTTTATTTTGAGTTGGGATGCATATGAACGATATGCATGGGGATATGATGAGTTCCATCCAATCTCGAAACACGGGAAGCAAATGACGCCGAAGGGAATGGGTTGGATAATTGTGGATGCTTTGGATACGATGATATTAATGAATCTGACAAGCAGAGTGCAACATGCAAGAGAATGGATTACAAACTCGCTGGACTATGATCAAGACCAAGAAGTTAATACATTCGAAACTACGATCCGCATGCTCGGGGGCCTTCTATCCGCCCATTATCTCTCCACGGAATATCCACACTTAGCTCCGTTGACCGAGGACGATGAAGGAGCTGCTGGAGAGGATTTATACCTGGAAAAGTCAAGAGATTTAGCTGATCGATTGCTTGGCGCTTTTGAATCTCCCTCCGGAATACCATTCGCTAGTGTCAATCTTAAGACCAACCAAGGTGTACCATCTCATGACGACGGTGGGGCATCATCTACGGCAGAGGCAGCCACGTTACAATTGGAACTGAAATATCTTACCAAACTCACCGGAGAAACTGAATACTGGGAAAAGGCTGAGAAGGTTATGAAGATCATTGATGATAATGGCATGGAGGATGGACTCTTACCAATCTATATTTACGCTAGTAATGGAAATTTCCGCGGAAAAAACATCCGCTTGGGCAGCCGTGGCGATTCATATTACGAGTATTTGATCAAACAGTATCTTCAAACTTCAAAAGAAGAGCCTATCTATGAAGAACTTTGGGACGAGGCACTCAAGGGAGTTCGCAAGCATCTCATCACGTACTCTAGCCCTTCGCGTTTTACCATTCTTGCAGAGAGACCTGAAGGTTTGAGTGGCTCTCTTTCACCAAAGATGGATCATTTGGTATGTTTCATGGGTGGAACGATTGCCTTGGGCGCTACTGGTGGTATCACGGAGGCTGAGGCACGTAAGCTACCAAGTTGGAGCGCGAAAAAGGATGAAGAGATGAGACTCGCCAGAGAGTTGACGCACACCTGCTGGGGAATGTACAAGGTCATGGCAACTGGGCTTGCTCCGGAAATCGCACATTTCAACATTGATAACCCTCCTCTGCCGGAAAATGCACCACACGAGGCACCTTCGAATTTTGATGACCCTGAAAATCAAGAGTGGCGCAAAGACTTTATTATAAAGAAGGCTGATAACCACAATCTTCAGAGGCCGGAAACTATCGAAACACTATTCTACATGTGGAGAATCACGGGAGACGAGATGTACAGAGAATGGGGATGGGAGATGTTCAGATCTTTCATGAACCATACAGCCGTGGGAGAGGGTGGTGGATTTACGAGTCTTTCTGATGCTGATGTTCTGCCTCCACAGACCAAGGACAATATGGAAAGCTTCTGGCTTGTGAGTATAATTTGCTTGTTATTGTTATTAACAAATTTGCTGACTTCATTAAGGCTGAAACTCTTAAATATTTTTATCTTCTTTTCTCGCCAAATGATCTCCTTCCCTTGGACCAAATAGTCCTTAACACAGAAGCACATGCATTTCCGCGATTCAAGATGGGTCCATTGTTGTCTACTGGATGGAAGAGGAAGCCCAGAGGACCAGATGGCAAGATTCTACCAGAAGCAGAGAAAAAGCCCGAAGTGAAGGAGATTAAAATCCAGGAAGTGAAGGATGCTGGGACGTGAAGTCGGAAAAGGAAATTTGTATGATGGATGATAATCATGTAAATTCGTTGTATTTTTATCAGTTCTAAATAGTAGGCCACCGAATGGCTTCTTCGTCATTACCTACGTTGATGAGTCTGGGCAATCTAAAAATAGATCCTGCTACTTGTACTCGAGTACTCGTGGTCAGACTATTGTACTTTTTATGTACGGATCTACTCGGATCTACTCCCCGTACATTCCAATAGTAAAGGAGCTAGCTGAATGCACTTTTCCACCGTATCCGAAGTACCTTCTTCCAATACAATATTTTACACGTCTACATTTGGTTTCGTTAATGAAATTGCGTCTGGGTGATTGATTCAGTTTCTACATTGTAGCTGAACACTTATGCATTATTTGCTCTAAGTAGCGCAATGTCCGAACGATCGCTTGAATCTAGATTGTACACAGACGTATGGTTCGCATTTCAATTGACGCAGCTTTGACAAGTCGGTGATCCAAACGACAAATTCTAAAAAGACGACGTCAGAAGCATTGTGCGGAGGCAAGGAAGATATTCGGAGGCTCCGTCACATGGCTTCCAATATTATCTTCTAACATGGACGACAATGAAGCTGTCCAAATAATTTACAGACGGTGTGACGGGCCGCCGTACAGTTGTTTACGGCTCGAACACCAAGATTTTGCCCAGCAATTAGGATCTTATACCCCTATTCTTCCTACTTGGCAACGGTGATACACCAAACACAATGTTATGCAGCGTCTGAAGCATCCAGAACCATTTGATGCCATTTTTAAATAACCATATTTGCGACAATCTTGCAGTTTGATGATGTTCATCCCGTTACCAGGGTGTTAGGCATGATAATCTCTATAAGCCCTAGCGTCCCGTACTCCAGATCAAGCTCAACACACCCAATCACACCCAGCAATTATCCTGCAAAGATAAGCCTTTACTTTTCGAGATAACTGTGCCTTTCCGGTTAAGAATTATTGTCGTCTTCTCTCTCGTCGAGCTACCTTTTTACGACTTTCGTACTCATCCTATTATCTATGATGTAGGATATCACTGGGAAAATGTCCGATTATACTTGCACGACCTTTAAGCTGCAGGCGACTAATTGAGAGATCCAACAGTTGCTCTCCTGATCATTCGAAACAACTCAGCCTCAGTGATTCCCTCCGAGGAGGTATCTTCTGACCGACCAGCGATATTCTTAGTGCAGGTCGTCGACGCTTCCTAGATCACATAAGCATCGAATTCACAAATACATTAAGATGAATAGTTTCAGGATGAACGATATTGAAAAAGGTTCGCCCTATCCTGATAAGGACCAATCTACAACTCCGGATTACAGTAGCGGTCGCGGGGAACCAAGTTACGAAGAAATAACGCACATAAAACATGGTGTTGGACGTCGCTTTGTGGACAGCTTTAGAAGAGATCCAAGTCTCACAATGACCCCGCCCGGTGTCGTTGGCGCAAATGGAAGAGTGTTTCACGCCAAAATCGCCGCGGCGGCAACGGCAAACTCTCCTCTTGCGCGAAGATTAAAAGGGAGGCATCTGCAAATGATTGCAATTGGAGGCTCAATAGGTTAGATACTTGAAATGAAGTGTAATGAACAGCTACTAAGTTGTCTTCGTGGACAGGTACCGGACTTTTCGTTGCATCGGGCAAATCTCTCGCAACTGGTGGACCCGCATCTCTTATTATATGTTTTACACTCATTGGACTTATGTTATATTGTACGGTGCATGCTTTGGGTGAAATGGCTGTTCTTTTTCCCGTTTCGGGGTCGTTTTCGGCATACTCGACACGATTTTTGGATCCGGCTGTAAGTTGTGTCACCTCTGTTGAAATGAGTAATTTATTAACATTTTAACTAGTGGGGTTTTGCCATGGGCTGGGTATGAGGCATTCTAGTTAATATGGTAGTTAGCATGGGAAACTAACTCATATCAAATAGAATTATGCTATGCAATGGCTTGTTGTTCTTCCATTAGAGATTATTGCGGCATCTATCACAATCGATTTTTGGGACACGACACAGCGGTACAACCACGCTATATTTGTCACGGTATTTCTCTTCACAATCATCGGCATAAACATGTTCGGGGTGAAAGGTTACGGAGAAGCAGAGTTTTTCTTTGCTATTGTCAAGGTCGTAGCTATTATTGGATACATGTACGTTTATTGATTATTTGCATCCTCTAATAGTTAAAAAATGCCTGGGATATTCTTCCCACCAACTTTCAGATTTCGAGATACGATTCAATCCGAAATGTAAAACTGACGCATGTATAGTCTTTTAGCCATAACCCTTAACTGTGGTGGTAGCCTTGAAGAAGGTTACGTAGCTGGTCAATTGTGGCATAATCCAGGCGCTTTTAACAATGGCTTCAAAGGCCTCTGTAGTGTTTTTGTTACAGCGGCTTTTGCTTTTGCTGGAACTGAATTGGTTGGCCTCGCTGCCGCTGAAACGCAGAATCCTAGAAAGTCATTGCCAACGGCTGTGAAACAAGTATTCTGGCGTATCACTCTTTTCTATATCGTCTCACTTACACTCGTTGGACTACTCGTTCCTTATACCGACGAAAGACTCCTCACTGCTGGTAGTGCGAATGCTGCCGCAAGTCCCTTTGTTATCTCTATTCAGAATGCCGGAATAACGGTACTCCCTTCTATTATGAACGTGGTTATTCTCATTGCTGTGTTATCTGTCGGTAATTCCTCAATATTTGGGTCTTCCCGGACTCTTGCAGCATTAGCAGACCAAGGACAAGCCCCGAAAATTTTAGCTTATGTCGATCGTAAAGGACGTCCTATTGTATCTATTTGCGTATCTTCGGTGCTTGGGTTTCTTGCATATGCAGCGGATTCTGGTGCCCAAGGGACTGTCCTAGATTGGATGCTAGCACTGTCTGGACTCTCTTCGATCTTTACTTGGGGATCTATCTGTCTCGCCCATATTCGTTTTCGACGAGCTTGGAGACTTCAGGGTCATAGTCTGGATGAATTGGCCTTTCGTTCTCAGCCAGGAGTCATAGGCTCCTGGATTGGATTTTTATTTAATGTTCTTATTCTTATCGCACAATTCTGGACGGGTGCATGGCCTACGGGCTACGAGGCAATGACGGCACTTGAACAGTGTCGAAGCTTTTTCATAGCTTACTTAGCGGCACCCATCGTAATTGTTTTCTATGTTGGATATAAGGTTTGGTACAGAACTTCTATCATGAGATCGATGGATATGGATTTAAAGACTGGAATGCGTGGTTTAGATTTACCAGCGCTGATAGCAGAAGAGCGAGCCGAGAAAGCAGCATGGCCAAAGTGGAAACGAGTATACAAAACAGTCTGTTAGTTCAACTATTGGGATTATGTAACGGAGGTCGGTTTGGAGTTTTCATTGTAGGAATTTTCATGAGCGGGAGATACCATCTGGTTTCGGCGTTAAACAAAGTATGCGAAGGAGGATATCCATGGCATAGGGTTTTGCTGGGAACATGTTCTTATATTTCAACGAGACTGGTATTCAATCTATAGATAAATTACATAATATAGCTAACTATCTTAAGATCTCTGCATGTCGGACAATACCTAGCGCGGGTAGTTCTTTTTCTAAAAGCTTTACCCGCGACCAATCGGCGCTTCTTAAAGCTTGATATAAGGTAACGGGAACTATTGGAGCTATCGGAGCTATCGATGACTCTAATAGAATCAAGGAACTATTCATATAAACAGATACCCCGCTTGTTTATCACAGGTGTAGGCGGACTCCGGTATTCATGTGTAGCAAAGTGATGAATTGTTTTCAATCATATTAATTTGTATCGCTCGAGAGGTTAATAAGTTTCATTGGGTAAGAACCCCAATTTGATCTTGAAAGCAGAAGAAGAATTTCTAATATCGATTCTCTGGAACATCTGGATTTTGGAACTTTGATGATTGCTTACCTAGGTAGGTGGGGAACTACAAATTTTCTAGTGAGGGGAAAAGTGGGAGTGGAGCTTTCTTTTCAAAACCCTTCCAAGAATTAGATATACGGAGTAGGTACAAGTATTGATTGGTTAATTAGCTCGGAAGACTAAGGGGAACTAGGATATCGATCACACCTTTTGATGCTGTTGATTACTAGATATCCATGTATCTCCGGATGATACTCGATGTGTGTTCGAAAGATAAGGAAGCTAGGTATGTATGATAACGAGGACCCGGCTAATACGTGTAGAAATAGTTAATATATCATGGCTGGCATTTGTCCAGAAGTTACTTAACTTTTTGATGTCCTGTTCTACTTCTTTTCTTTTTGAAACTACTGTGAATACTCGTTTCAGGCTTGGCCTGTCAGTTTAATTATTGACAGTCGTCTTCATTTAGTTCATTAGCCTTCAAGATGTTGACCAAACAAGCTCTTTTCATTTCTGCACTTTTGCCCTTAATCCAAGGACAAGAATCCACTTCAGAAACCGTTCTAGGTGTTTACATATACCATCGTCACGGTGACCGCACAACAAAAAGCTATCCACCTGTATCCCTCACAGATCTTGGTTATGCCCAAGTCCATGCATCTGGAAATTACTATCGAACCCGCTACATCGATTCCAACGCCTCAACTCCCATCTACAACATCAGTCCCGACATAGTTAAGACCTCTCAATTGAACGTGCAAGCACCAGTCGATACCGTGCTTCAGAATTCCGCAGCCGGTTTCCTACAGGGTTTATATCCACCCGTGGGTGCATCGCTGGGAAGCCAAATACTCGCAAATGGTACAAGTGTTGAAGCACCTCTGGGAGGATTTCAACTCATCCCCGTAAATGCAGTCTCTACGGCTTCCAGCGGTGCTAATTCTGAGAGTTCTACGTGGCTCCAAGGATCAAGTGGTTGTGGAAATGCAATTACGAGCTCGAATAATTATTTTTTCTCGGATGAGTATACGCGGGTTTTGAATTCGAGTAGGAGTTTCTATGAGAGTATTTTTCCTGTGGTTAATTCTACGTTTAATTCTGCGACGAATACTTTTAAGAATGCTTATACGAGTAAGATCCTTTTCAATTTTTTTATGATACCTAGGTACCTAAGCATTGTTGACAATGATTAGTTTATGATTATGTCCATGTCTCTACTATTCATAATTCGTCTATTCCGTCCGATGATCTTCTTACGAATGACACACTTTCTCAGTTGCAAACGTTGGCGGATAATCATGAGTTTAATCTTGCGTATAATGCTTCAGAGCCTATTCGTGCGATTGCGGGTTCGACTTTGGCGGGTCAGATGTAAGTCTATTATCCATCATTCCCAAACCCACAAACTAACACCCAACTTAGCCTCCAATCCCTCAACAACACCCTAAGCACCCATTCCACCACGCCCCTAACCATCCAATTCGGCGCCTACGCCACCTTCCTCTCCTTCTTTGGCCTCTCAGGCCTCTCGAACATCTCCTCCTCCTCCCCCTTCACCAAAATAGTCCCCTACGCCTCCTCCATGATCTTCGAACTCCTCACCAATTCCACCATCTCTGACACCTCTTACCCGCCCTTATCCAGCATCTTCATCCGCTTCTCCTACTCCCATGGTCCCGCCTCCGAAAACCCTCCTACCCCCTACCCACTATTCGGACAAACTGACCTCGTGATTCCATATAAGAAATTCGTACAGGAAATGAATCGCTTCGCGGTGCGGGATTTGGGGGATTGGTGTGGAGTTTGTGGGGAGAAGGGGGGGGTTTGTGCTTCTTCTTCGAGTTCATCTTCTAGCTCCAGTTCGAGTTCGAGCTCGGGATCTGGGTCTGGAAATGGAAATGGAAATGGAAATGATAATGGGATTTCAAAAACAGTAGCGGGTGTGATTGGGGCGATGGTTACATTGGGTTTTATTTTGGGATTGGAGGTTTTGGTTCTTGTGGGCGCGGGATTGAGGGTTGTGAGGAGGGGGGGGAGTGTAGGTGGAAGGGGAAGTGGAAGTGGAGCTGTGGGTGTGGGGGGTATGGGGGAGCAGATGCAGAGTGGGAAATAGGGGGATGGGATTATCTTATTTTCTTTTGGGTGGGAAGGTTGGTAGGTTGGTAGGTGGGTAGATAATGATAATACGTACACGAGTATATACGTACATACATCAGAAAAGAAAATAGCTAAGAATACTCATGAAATTAAGTACATGGGCAAGGTACGTAGTCGGATACTCAGCTACTGGTTTGAGGTTTTTATTATAATGAATGAATGAATGAATGAATGAATGATTTATTGATTGTGTATTCCTATTCCTATTCTATGCCTATACAAATAAGTAGTGATATACAATCTCCCCCTACTCCTACTCCTACCCCTATCATATAATTATCCATAATATTTCGCCAACGCGTGAATTTTCGTGTTATCATGATACCATAGACCAGCCACCGACCATCCTATGTAATAATATAATAATACTCCGAATAAATGCTTCATCAAGCATACCATTGCATACCTAGCATGTCATACACAGCATACTCATGCAAACAAAGCGCTCAAACCCCGCAACGCAACGCTACCTATCCAACGATATGCAGTAAAAATAAACATAACAACATAATCAACAACACAACACCACACACTTAACCCAACCCCTCACCATTCAAAATACTCTTCAAAATCCCTGCTCCCAATCCCTCTACTGCAGCCGCAACTTCCTTCTGACCCACACAACTAGCGACTCTCTTCTCATCACCCACCCCCACACCCGTTCCGAAAACCTTTCTTCCGGGTCTACCTTTTGTTCTGACTCCGTTTAAGACAAATGATCCATTTTTTCCATCAACTGCCGCCACTAGTGATAAAGTCTCTAAACTTCCCACCACATCTCTAAATTCCGTGCTAGTTAATGGATGGAGGATCGCATCGCGGGTACAGAGCATACTGTATGTGTTATACAATTGTTTGATTGTTGGGGCTAGATTGTGAGATTTTGAGGGTGTTGCGAGGAGATTGGAGGATTGGGAACGATTTCGGGATTCGAGGGCGAGGAGGGCGCAAAGTGCGGCTTTTTGTTGGAGATTGAGTGTCTTCAAACGTTGGGTGGATCCATTGCCGAATGTGGAGGCTGTGATTTTGTTGACGTGAGAAATACTTGCGCGGGGAGCAGTCTCGACGGTGAGGGTTGCCAGAGATTGGGCTAAGGTTCTTGGACGCAGGGTATTTTTGCTGGGAGTATTTGGAATGGAAGAGAGATTGATGTTGTCTTCCAGGATTCGTTTGGAAGGGCTATCGAGTAGAACTTGTTCTTTTAGTTCTTGCTCGTGCTTCTGCTTAGTTTCTGTCTCGATTAAATCAATTGCTCTTCGACAGATATCGAAGGCTTTGCGTAAATCTCCTGTTTGACTTGCCACTTTTCTAGAGCAGAGTTCAATGGCCGCCGGGTGGAGGAATGGAACAAAAGTTGGAGTCGCGCTATCGGCGGGAATAAGTGACTTAAGACGTGTCATGATGACATTTTTGATCTGTAATGCTGTATATGGAAGAAACGGTAATAGTTGCGGTTGTAGGTTTCGGGCCTTAAGTCTTGGTAGGAAACGATCTGTAAGGTCTAATGCATTTGCAATACCGATAAGAATGAGGCGCGATGACTTTTGTAACGACCACTCGAACAGCTTGTATAAAATTTCCAGGTCCAAAGTAAGGATGTGGTCAATTTCATCCAGGGTAATGAGGTAAACATCCTTAGTCCTTTTCCTCGAAACAAACATATTCTGCAAAGTCTTCTCTTCATCACCCTCCAGAACTTCCTCCTCGCCGCAGTAAGACTCCAACAATATACCATATAAATCCTTCGACGTTTTCATACTCATACAATTGACATACGTCTTGTGTAATGTGCTAGATTCTTCATACTCCGTCGTAACTTCGTTGATCATAGCACTCTTTCCAGTCCCAGGTGGACCACTAACGTATATACATCCTCCATTTGTTTTATCAACACAATTTTGTACAAAAGTTTTCAATTCGTCCTTTTCAGCTTCTCTACCAACAAGTTGTCCGGGTTCCGCACTGCGTGTAAAGATTTGGCGAGCTTGGCTATATACTGTCGCAATGGATCCACCAGGTGTTACAGGAGTCCGAGGAGTTCTAGGGGTCATTGGCTTGCCAGTGACAGTGACACGATGTCGAGGAGTTATCTGTACTTTTTTAGAGAGCGCATCCCGATGTCGAGGTGTTTGAGGAGTAGGAGGTTGGGCCGTCTTCGATGATTCTTCCGTTACTGTTCTTGGTAATGCGATTCTTCTCCCTGCAAGTCCATGTTTCGAGGGCGAGGGCTTGACTGGTATATTTTCCGATAATTCATCAATTTCCATAGAATCGGCATCGAAGTCTTCGACCTCATCGCGCCTCTTGCGGGTGACGAAGGGACTTTCATTCTCATCATTGTATATTTCTGTTCCCGTTTGACGTTTCGCGCGTGTTGATCGGACTTTGAAATCTATAGAGTGAAAGTTAGAAAGTTTTTGAAATGGATCTGGGGATGATTCGTACCTGCTATTGTCGTTGTACTCCTCGTTCGTTTTCCCAATACAGAAGGCATAATTGAGGATGTCTGTAGAGAGTTACAACTCAATTCAAATGTGTTCTTGCTTAATTACAAAAGTTTTACTTGAAGTTGAAGGAATTGAGGAAGTTGTAATGATGAGTAAAAATCAAAGGGCCGTGTATTGATGGATATGTAGAAATTCGCGTGGACGCGTTCGCGTATAGTGGATTTAACGCGTTTTAGTGAACCCCTGAAATGCAGCAATGGTACGGCAGCGGACAAAGTGTAGTCCCTGTACATCGCAGGAGAATATATATGTAGGAGGTTGATGCAAGTTGTGATAATGTTACATCTACCAGGTATTTATATTTATCTACATTAGATGATAATGCACATGCTGAATATTGGATTTGATGTATTTATGCCTGTTAACATGGCCATGAGATTGTCACTAAAGCTTTAAGATACAAAGTTTGGCTGTGGATGCAGGCCATTGAGGATGAGAATCCGATGCCTTCTCATGATTCTCTAAGACAATGCAATACTCGAATGCTTGGAAGTTGACCGAGGCATCCTATCCTGAAAGACAATGTGATTGTTGGATCTTATCTCGAAGTATCATAGAAATATGAGCTAAACGAGCCCTATGTGATAAGCTAACCAATTGTGATGTACTATTTTGAAATCAACATTCATATGCTCATCAAGGTAGATAAGTATATTGAAATGGAGGAGTAGCTGTCTATTGCTCCTTTACTTTGTCCCCTACTTCAGCGTTGCAAAGCGAGGATAACCAACATGTAATGTAACTGAGGGTAGAAGTAACATTAAGCCAATTAGCACGTCAAGTATTGTAACTAACTTCAAAAGCAGACAACCTTATACAGATCACAATGCTAATTTATAGCATGTACTCCGCACGTTAGCTAGCAAATCGCATAGATGATCTCGGGACTCGGGAGAAAGAATCAAGTTTGATGCTTGGCATGATTACCATCTACCTACTAGGTAGTAGTCACTCATCAATGAATTAGTTTGGGCGGCAACCAAATTTATTAGACAAACTCTTTACATTCATCTTTCTCTTACAACATATACATATACTTCATATGTCCTTCACATTAACATCATATAGTCGCATCTACGATTATATCACAATCACATACCCTCACAAGTATTTCAGCATGTTACTTGTTACTTTTGATAGGTAGATACATATCCCCATCAGGGCCATCACACCACGATCTACGCACTTCCAAAACCCCTCATCAGGCTTCATAGCCGCCCATCTTTGTGCCAGGGTGTTTGCCTTATTCTCCACCATTACTGGTTTTCAGGGTAAAGCTGGGTTGTGCGGGTTTGACTGCTCCCCGCCCTTCCTATTCGTCATTTGTTCAGATTCACTCATTTCGATACAATAAACTCACTCACCAACTTCGGATTTCCCTGCTTGTAGGCCCTTTTTCTTTATTTTGTCACTCCGCACGTATTTCTATCTCAGGACCTTTTCATTTCTTATTTCATGCTGTGAAGATATCTCCAGCGGGTCGTTGAATCTTCTTGACAGGCTTTCTTATCGTTTATCTGTTCCTGCCCTACAGGCCTTTTTCGTGGCCCGCCGCAAGCTTTGATATTTATTACCTGGCGCAACTTACCCCCGCCCTGCCGGCAAAGAGCTTGGCTCTTATTTCAACCATCTTCTCAGCATATTGTTGAACACAGAAAGCACATCAAGAAGACTTTGCACCTCAATAACGAGTCTTTTTGCCGGAACCTTTATACTTTGTACAGGATGGCTAGGCGTACCGGGAAACCCAGCGATGAGTTATTCATGCAACGTCCCGGCGACGGTTGTGATAGTCCTACGGTCGCCATAGAACCTTTGAGGATTGTGAAGCCGACAAGCCCTCCCCGAAATCGAGCGGCATCCAGTTCGTCGAGTCGATTTGCATCCCCACCCCCTGCGAACAAGCATAAATTTCCTTTACCACCAGGTGCCTCGAGCTCCGCAAGCCCTCTACCATATCCTGATGATGACGATGACGACGACCTCTTTCAGAAAAAACCAAATCCCCCTTATCCTGATGATAGAAGAAAAGCCCCACAGAGGATTGAACTGAGCGATCAAGAAAATAGAACATCTGGAGGAAGTGGTAGGCCAACCGCATATGATACTGCACCACGATTTACAAGCCCTACAGAGAGAACTGGCCCAGGTCTATCTGAAAGAAGGGGGAATGCACCGCAGCCTTTGCCCGCTTCCCCGGAGATAGGTTCCTCAGATAGAGATGAAATGTTTGGCAGACTACCGCCAAAGGAACAAATCCCTCAAGCTGGCGCAAGTGCGTACGCAGAGGGTAACAGGCATTATTATCCACCACCCATTCCTAAACCCACGTCTTCAAATGTGACGCCTCCAATACTATCACCAACTCCGAAAAATGATATGAATAGATTCGCTTCCACGGCTTCAACCTCCACGACTAGAGCAACCAGAGGATCCCCGCCCCCACCAGAAACTCCCATCGAGCCGCCAACCGAGCTTGCCAGCGGGCTGGCATAGAGGCGCGATATGCTGCATC